TTCAGTGACACCATAATTACACAACCTATGTAAAGCTTTCTCCTGTTAACAGAGCACATGCTACACAACTAATGTTATGTCACTGAAGGTGAGATGCTCTTTTCATTTAAATGTGTTTCTATTACTCACTAATCACCAAAATGCTATATATCTAGGCTCAAGCGAGGAGAACCCATTGTTTAATTCTGAAAAATATTAATCATTAGAACTGTTTACAATGTTGATGTATACAGATTTAGGTAAGCAGGTTCTGAAAAAAAAAGGAAAATGTGAAAGTAAAAATGCCGTATTGAGAGTGGATTCACAATAGGCATTTTGATACCAGAAACCACTGTTAAAAGCTTCATATATATTGTATACAACAGGCAGATTGATCACACTACAGAGACTGTAAACAGACTTTTATATGCTACAGAAAGCCAGGTCATGATACTGTGCACAGTACACTCCAAAACATAAACCAGGATAAATAAAACTGCTGTAAAAATTTCAATACAGCTTTTAAATGCAGATTATATATTCTGTAAATTACACAAATGTTACGACAGATGTACATTATATGTATTTTCTGATATATATTGCAGTAAACTGAGCATGGAATATGTAATCCATAAGAGACACTCAATGGTACACACATCAAATATTTGTTCTCTGCCAAAAACCATAAATAGTTTGGACAGAGATTACATATTCTGAAAAGACACTACCAACAACACCTTTGCTTTTATCTCCATTATGACAGTGTTTTGTACCAATTAGCAGTTGGCCATCTCTAGTGTGAATACTGGCAGTAGAGGCCCATTGTCACACAATGAATAAGTACCAGTAAATATTTACATAAGGGAAGCAATGCAACAGGCAGCGAAAGAGATGAAAACCACTTGAACTTAATAATATATCTTATTATGCACTTTGCTTGGTATTTCCTTTTTTAAAACTGAATGTCTAACATAGAACACAAAATACTGTCACATTGAAGTCTTAGCACCTTGGGTACAAACTTGATGACTGGTAAAGATACTTTGTAACAATACCTAAGAAATCTTTGATTGACAACATGATTAAATTGGTACAAGACAAAAGAAAATAGAATATTTTATACTAGAAATGAATAAAACATGACTGTATATATACATATAATATCAAGGTCAACGAAAGGTCACTTCCTGTGTTACAGTATGTACATATATACATTTAGTGGAAATATCAGGTATGATGGATGTTCCATATCACATGTCTTTGTAAAGAGATTGTACATTTCATGCTTTCTTTAAAATGATCGCAAGTTCTTATATATCACATACAAATTCATCAGTTTGTAAATTTTTACTAGACAAAATCATGAATATTACTTTTTGTATGCAAAATCGCGTATTGTACATTTCACATTCAATTTAAATCACGAGTCTGTATACTTCACATATAAAAGTCGGCAGGCAGATTTCAATATAAAATGCTCTTACAACTACATTGAAACAACATCTATCACATAAACAAAGCTGATTTTTATCGATGAGATTTCTGCTACACTATTTTTATGATTTAGAATTGAAACTTGTTTGTATAATTGAAAATCTAATTCCAACCAATTGCTGAATTTTGATAAATGTCCAAGATTTTCTTACATTCATCCAGAGTACAGTGTAAGGTGTACAAATTGTAGGTTACATAAAGGTGAATATTGAATATGAGGTTAAAGGTCAAATCATATGTCTTATATTTACCATAACCTTGCTTCAACAGTTGTTGGCAACAATATTGCTTCAGTAACAGCATAGACATGCTATCTTTAAAATACTTTAAATACACCTTTCTCCAAATCAGCTTTCTCAATATATGTTGCCAAGCATACTTTGCAATATTTACATGTAAAATTCTTAATGAGCTTATAAAGACTTTTTGTGTTTGGTATTTTGTGAAATACGAAAAAAATCCTAGCCTTTTTTCATTAGATTTCACCTGACATTTGATTTCTGTCTATTAAAAGTAAATAAAAGTACATGTAAAATAAACACAACCAATCATATTGTACATAGTGTATAGTGTTTAATGCTCACAGGGGATTTAATTTCACTATATTCACAGTCATCAAAGTATAGCATGAAATTAAATACTCAGGAAACACTTTTACCAATGTACAGACATACATGAAATTTAATACTTATGAACTAGCCCAAACCGCTAATCATTAGCCCAGCAAACCACTATACCATAAAAGTAATCAACCCCATCACAGCCCCTCAATTATCTGGAAGAGCTTCTATCACTTTATTTGTTTGCTATTTTTAAAATAAGAATATAATTTAGTCAGCAGTTTTTCTTTTGAATCTTAGATATCTGTTATTGCTAAATAGTGTGTTGCTGTTGTTGTTGACACAATTACAAAATTATATTGGTAATGTCTTGCCCTACTGATTCCGTTCCGAACTCATTCAAACTGGGACTCATCTCCAGCTTAACTTAATCTGGAGTTTGTTAAATATACTTAAAATTGTCAAAACATTTAACATGCTTGTTTTACCCTAGCTACGGTAACTCTCAACAAAAACAAATGACTTAACATGTAACAATGTATTGTAACAAAGGAATGTACCAACAATGCGACAAACCAGACGTCTATCACAGCAACAGATGAAGGGCAAAGTTTATATACAGCAGGGTCCAAACACATACAGATTACAAAGAAATCTAGGTGACTGGCATTCCATCATATATTAATGAAAGCAAGAACTGTCAATCACAACGTAATGATCTAGATAAAAAAATAGTTAACATCTTTTTTAAATTGGTAAATTAATTTTAACTTATTATATCAAATCTGTTAAGTTATATAGAGGGCATATAATTTACAAATTTGTACCTATACCAGTAATACTGGTCCAGGTCTATGTGGACTTGGGGCAGGGGAGGGGGAAGCAGGAGAGAGAATAAAAATAGGATACCTATATGTGTATAATATAAACAGGTTTTTAAATGAAATGACCCAAGGAGCACGACATTTTCTTGGCGTTGTTGACCAGAAATCTGGTGTCTTTGGTTAGACCATTTTGATTTCCTAAGATGTGTATATAACTATACAGCATATCATTTGTGACTTTTGATTTATTCACAGAATGTCACATATGTTCTCATTTCAACATTCTGCATGGAGTTGATTTCTGCAATTACTACTTCAGCGTCTAAAATTTTAATAAATCTACTTTGTAATTGGAAATCTACTGACATGCTAGTCCAACTCTTCACTACAGGTGTGTGAATCATTATCAACAAACCCTCAAATTTATCTCAAAAACATGCTATGCAAAAATACAAGTTTTTAAACATTGTTTAAATACAAAGTAATTTTCTCTCAAATGATTATTATGAAGAATTTGCATGCATGCAACACTTTTTAGTTTAAATTCTTTTATCTGACAGGGGTGTCTTTTTCCTAATGTTTCAATTAGGATTAAAACCAGACACTACCAGGTGCTAGTCCAATGGAAAACTTGTTGAACTAAAGAGAAATTCCCACTGGCCAATTAAGTTTAACTGTTTATCACTATGATATATAGGTTAACAGCTGATATTTTTATTATTATTTAGTTAATTCCCTTCCCTCAACTAGTTGCATTCTGCACTAACTTTGTACATAAAGCTGGAAAACATAACATTAGGTTAATCCATAAACAGCCACAAAGATTGGTACACACAGGAAACCAGTAGTTAGAAATCAATTAATCTTTAAGGCTGAGTAGCTATATACAACATATCAGTTTTATACAAAATTATACTTTGTACATGTTTCTATTAATGCTTGTTAGTTGAGGTTATCATCTTTTCAAGGATGACAGTATATGTTCAACAATGATTAATGAGCTGAAAATTTGAACTGAAATCAATTTTTGAATTTTAAAATAAAATGTAAACTTTGGAATATGTATCAGAACAAGCACTTGGACAAAACAAGACAGTAAACCTGTCAACATTTACACACATGCTGTGGTATTATACAGATAGGAATGTAGATATTAGTAAGCTATAAAAGCATTTAACAAGGTAGGATGTATGTATAAAAAAAAACATAGCAAAAAAAATATGATTGGAAATAAAAAATAAATATATACAAATAATAATGAAGCTTACATTAAACACTTTTTCCCACAAGTGTCAAAATACAAGTTCTACAAAAGATTTTAAAAGTTTGGACCACTAGATATTACACAAAGTTACCTCTGGGCAACTGAAATTACACTTTGGTTGCATGATCACATCTGCCAGCTGACAACACAAAGACATGACCATATTACCAAAACAAAAGCACAACCAAATCCTGATCACATTACCAGATACAAAACTGAGCAATCCTGCATGTGTTTAACTTTAACTTATAAATGAAGACAAATCTTTCAAAAGTAACCAAGTCACCAAAAATATATTTTTGACATTAAGGAAACCTGGAAGTTTGTTTAAATTTCTGAAAAAATACTTGAAATTGTCATTAAATGATTTTTTATTTTGTTCTAATTTCAAAATTTCAAAAGAAATGTTTACACAGTAAATTGTTAAATTATACAAAACAAAAATTGTTAATGACCAATGCAAATTATAAACGTATTCCTGATTCTTCAGGTAATATAAATGCTTTGCTAACCAAGACACTTTACATTTTCAAATTTTACTTGGCTACACGAGATTCTATCGCAGATGTGCATTCATAACAAAGGTACAAAAAATTGACAAGTTGTGCAGCATGGTCAAAATTAACGAGTAATATTTTTATGTTAAAATGACCATAACATAGAATTCGCATGGAAAAGTCTGATTTTGGCTATGAACGAGTACATCACATGGGATTAATATGTAGGAGCTATTGAATAGCGACAGCCTGTGAAACATTTACTTCATCACAAAAACAAATGATAACATACAACAAAAGTGGACCTTCATGTTCAAATCTCTCGATCACAATTTCTGTTGTCATGGCAACAATTACAAATACTCTTTTGTTATTTCACCTTTTGAAGATGATTTCATACAATCATCAGAGTTGATTTCTTTCCGATTCTTGGAATTCAGTCAAATGTTGAACTTCTGTTTAGCAGGAGTTGAATTGCACATGGAAAGATGTTGTAAATATACATGACATCTTAACTTCATTGGGTGTCTATGTACTCCAATGCCATCTTGTAACAGAAATTGTACTGCTCCTGGAAAGAGAAGATTTATCAGGTAACCTTTTCTCTGTTCTGAGGAACAAAAAGCTACTATGTACCCATGATTACTATGAGAAAGAGGCTCTTAGGCTTCAAATCACATCTGACAATGAAGAGTTTTTCTAGACCTCAAAAAATATTGTTACAGAATGGAGATGTTGATCTTTTTCCAACCATTATATTAAGTATGATCTCTGCTCTTAAGACAAGGTTAAAAGGCATAACTTGATGGATTTTCAGATTGAAGTTTTAAAATGTGATCTTTGACCCTTTCATCTTGACTGATGACCATCTTTAGACAATAAAGGTGTAGAAGTTGATGCTATGATACTGTGGGGTCATTAGGAACCTGAAGGGTTCACAACATCATAGACATTGATTCTGAACAGGTCGTGTCAGGAGGCGACATGGTGGATGAGGCGAGACAGGCGGTTATAGGTAACACTTTGTACTCCCTTATAAAAAGGTTTACACATAAACGTAACTCACCAGGTCCTCTATGAACTGTGGTCGATTAGTACGTATGGCCATCACAGTCTGGAATACATCCACCTCATGGTCACGTTGCATCCGCTCTAGTAGAAGACTCACAGCACAGAACACACCGCTCTTACTGGCCCCATTCCTGAATATATAAAATACAGACATGACTCACAGCACAGAACACACTGCTCTTACTGGCCCCATTCCTGAATATATAAAATACAGACATGACTCACAGCACAGAACACACTGCTCTTACTGGCCCCATTCCTGAATATATAAAATACAGACATGACTCATAGTTCACATCACTCTTACTGGCCCCATTCCTGAATATATAAAACACAGACATGATTCTTAGTTCACACCACTCTTACTGGCCCCATTCCAGAATACACAACAGTGACTCACAGTACACATCGCTCTCACTTGCTCTATTCATTAATACAGAAATCACAGCAGTGACTCACATAACACAAAGCTCTTACTGGCCTCATTCCTGTTATTGACAGCAACAATATAGAATCAAATAAATACAAATATACTGATACTGAGTTACTTCTTTATCAGCTGATAAAACTGAGACCATGGCTAATTTCCTTCAGCACTTAATTATTTACTGTATTGCTGCTAGTTCTTATAAAGGTATAAAACAGTTCTTACATGCAGTGAACTGTGATTGGTCCTTTACCACTCTGTTTCAACCAATCACAAACCATATCCAAAAGCTGGACAAGAGCTGCAGTGTCTGGCACTTTATCAGAGTCGGACCAAGACCTCAGCTGAAATTGTTTGATTGCACGGGCTTCTCCCTAAAATTAAAATATTTTTATAAGAATGACAGCTTCCTACTTCATAGAGCAATTGTTTACAGCCGTACTTTGATATTTCAATGCTGATTATTTTGTGAACCATCTGATAATAATGATATTACATATTGCTTGGCAATTTAACCACTTAATGCTAACACAAATGGCTTTTCTGATAAATTTTGTAACTGCAATAATTCATGACTTACCATCTACAGTAATGGTAATGAATATCACTAGTTGACTTAACAATTCATAACATCAAAAAAAAAATAAACCAGTGCTCCAAAAACAAAATCCTTTAACTTAATGTCTAAATACATTTTCATATTTCTGCACAAGTTATCCTTTTGGAAATGAATTTTAGAATTCAATTAGCATAAAATACTCTGTTAGTTGAAACATTCTGTTCAGAGTCTTCAAATCAGAAAACTGACCTTCATGTGGTTGCATACTTTGAAAATGCGTTCAGAAACGTTAGGATCTACCTCCCTGGAAGACAGTAGTTCGATACTTAGAGGATCATACTCCACAGTGTAGCCATGTTCCTCTGGCCAGTATAGGGCACATGTCTGTAACAAAAGATGGATGGTGTGGTGTTGAAGACATGATAATAGATGACAATGTAAATGTACATATTTTAGTACTTTTTGTGCTGAAAATATCATGCTAAAATGTGATTGCGCTAATTGAAAGTTCTGAACATTACATAGCTATCACAGTGGATGAGCTTACTGACATTGTGCTTATCTACCAAAAATAATAGTGTGCTAAACTTTGACTACCACAAGTTAAATATGGTTACAGTATGTCAGTAAGTTGACTAAATTGAGACATTGATCTACATGTGTTATCTTGATGGATATTACATAATTTTTATGTTTCCTTTAATCTTTCTAGAAGTAGGTCTGCAATTAACCTGGTCATTTCTGTCAAAGTCATTCAACATGACGACAGTGTTGGAGTTGTAATCATACAACATTCTCCAGAAGTCAGCTACTGTATTAGGTAGAGGCATCTGTGTCACGATAAATGCATCTCGATGAGTGTAGCCCTGTCAAGATATCAAAAAAAATTCTTCATTCTTAAAATTCTCAAATCAAATATTTCAAATGTTTATATTCTATGTATCAAGAGCAACCCTTAAAAGCTAACAGATTGTCTTCCTAAGGATATTAGTTTGAAGAATGTATAAATTGTACTGTACCAACAAAGTAACTAGGCATATTACCAATTCTGAAGTACACTGAATAGAATTTTTTTTGACAGCAATAAAATGTAAACTATATTTATTTTCAACAATTGCGAAACAAGCTATCGGATTATATTAGTCACTCTTATTGGCCTGAATAGAAATGAGCTAGGGGTCTTACTGTGGAAGGAAACCAGAGTACCCAGGGAAAACCAACATTGTCGGACAGATGACCCATAGCTTTTCACGTCCACTGCACCATCCCACCACCCATATACATGACAGTTTTCATTATATTATACTTAATCATAAACACAAAATCATCCATTAAGAAATTTCACTCACTAATTAACACTTTCTATAACTCAATATAATTATAGGCTAACATTACATAACTTACAGATAAAAATATGGCATTGATGTAGTCATTACAGCCCTCCACTTGGGTGTACAGGTGTGGTCGGCATCGATTAGCTGTAAGAGGAAAGACTTCAATCATAAATTAGGCACAAAAATAAGAGACTTTTTTTAAATGGCAGATTGTAAGGTCATGATTTGGAGTAATTTTCAATACATTTACTAACATTGGAACTCCTAGTGAAGAACAGCTGACAGAGAGTCTTACCTGGTAACTATATAACAATACTGTCAGAGAGGCTTACCTGGTAACTATATAACAATACTGACAGAGAGGCTTACCTGGTAACAACTCCTATCTAACTAGGTATATAACAATACTGACAGAGAGGCTTACCTGGTAACAACTCCTATCTAACTATATAACAATACTGACAGAGAGTCTTACCTGGTAACAACTCCTATCTAACTAGGTATATAACAATACTGACAGAGAGTCTTACCTGGTAACAACTCCTATCTAACTATACTGACAGAGAGGCTTACCTGGTAACTATATAACAATACTGACAGAGAGGCTTACCTGGTAACAACTCCTATCTAACTATATAACAATACTTACCGAGAGTCTTACCTTGTAACACCTCCTATCTAACTATATAACAATACTGACAGAGAGGCTTACCTGGTAACAACTCCTATATAGGTATATAACAATACTGACAGAGAGGCTTACCTGGTAACTATATAACAATACTGACAGAGAGGCTTACCTGGTAACAACTCCTATCTAACTGAATAACAATACTGACAGAGAGGCTTACCTGGTAACAACTCCTATCTAACTATATAACAATACTGACAGAGAGGCTTACCTGGTAACTATATAACAATACTGACAGAGAGGCTTACCTGGTAACAACTCCTATCTAACTAGGTATATAACAATACTGACAGAGAGGCTTACCTGGTAACAACTCCTATCTAACTAGGTATATAACAATACTGACAGAGAGGCTTACCTGGTAACTATATAACAATACTGACAGAGAGGCTTACCTGGTAACATATAACAATCTGAACTACCTGGTATATATAACAATACTGACAGAGAGGCTTACCTGGTAACAACTCCTATCTAACTATATAACAATACTGACAGAGAGTCTTACCTGGTAACTATATAACATATAACAATACTGACAGAGAGGCTTACCTGGTAACAACTCCTATCTAACTATATAACAATACTGACAGAGAGTCTTACCTGGTAACAACTCCTATCTAACTATATAACAATACTGACAGAGAGGCTTACCTGGTAACTATATAACAATACTGACAGAGAGGCTTACCTGGTAACTATATAACAATACTGACAGAGAGTCTTACCTGGTAACAACTCCTATCTAACTATATAACAATACTGACAGAGAGGCTTACCTGGTAACAACTCCTATCTAACTATATAACAATACTGACAGAGAGTCTTACCTGGTAACAACTCCTATCTAACTATATAACAATACTGACAGAGAGGCTTACCTGGTAACTATATAACAATACTGACAGAGAGGCTTACCTGGTAACAACTCCTATCTAACTAGGTATATAACAATACTGACAGAGAGTCTTACCTGGTAACTATCTAACTAGGTATATAACAATACTGACAGAGAGGCTTACCTGGTAACTATATAACAATACTGACAGAGAGGCTTACCTGGTAACAACTCCTATCTAACTATATAACAATACTGACAGAGAGGCTTACCTGGTAACAACTCCTATCTAACTATATAACAATACTGACAGAGAGGCTTACCTGGTAACTATATAACAATACTGACAGAGAGTCTTACCTGGTAACAACTCCTATCTAACTAGGTATATAACAATACTGACAGAGAGTCTTACCTGGTAACAACTCCTATCTAACAATACTGACAGAGAGGCTTACCTGGTAACAACTCCTATCTAACTATATAACAATACTGACAGAGAGTCTTACCTGGTAACAACTCCTATCTAACTATATAACAATACTGACAGAGAGTCTTACCTGGTAACAACTCCTATCTAACTAGGTATATAACAATACTGACAGAGAGGCTTACCTGGTAACTATATAACAATACTGACAGAGAGTCTTACCTGGTAACTATATAACAATACTGACAGAGAGTCTTACCTGGTAACTATATAACAATACTGACAGAGAGGCTTACCTGGTAACTATATAACAATACTGACAGAGAGGCTTACCTGGTAACAACTCCTATCTAACTATATAACAATACTGACAGAGAGGCTTACCTGGTAACTATATAACAATACTGACAGAGAGGCTTACCTGGTAACTATATAACAATACTGACAGAGAGTCTTACCTGGTAACTATATAACAATACTGACAGAGAGGCTTACCTGGTAACTATATAACAATACTGACAGAGAGGCTTACCTGGTAACTATATAACAATACTGACAGAGAGGCTTACTTACCTGGTCTTACCTGGTAACAATATAACAATACTGACAGAGAGTCTTACCTGGTAACTATATAACAATACTGACAGAGAGGCTTACCTGGTAACTATATAACAATACTGACAGAGAGGCTTACCTGGTAACTATATAACAATACTGACAGAGAGGCTTACCTGGTAACAACTCCTATCTAACTATATAACAATACTGACAGAGAGGCTTACCTGGTAACTATATAACAATACTGACAGAGAGTCTTACCTGGTAACTATATAACAATACTGACAGAGAGTCTTACCTGGTAACAACTCCTATCTAACTAGGTATATAACAATACTGACAGAGAGGCTTACCTGGTAACAACTCCTATCTAACTATATAACAAAACTGACAGAGAGGCTTACCTGGTAACAACTCCTATCTAACTGTATAACAATACTGACAGAGAGGCTTACCTGGTAACAACTCCTATCTAACTATATAACAATACTGACAGAGAGTCTTACCTGGTAACAACTCCTATCTAACTATATAACAATACTGACAGAGAGGCTTACCTGGTAACAACTCCTATCTAACTGTATAACAATACTGACAGAGAGGCTTACCTGGTAACAACTCCTATCTAACTGAATAACAATACTGACAGAGAGTCTTACCTGGTAACAACTCCTGGTAACAACTCTATCTAACTATATAACAATATTGACAGAGAGGCTTACCTGGTAACTATATAACAATACTGTCAGAGAGGCTTACCTGGTAACAACTCCTATCTAACTATATAACAATACTGACAGAGAGGCTTACCTGGTAACTATATAACAATACTGACAGAGAGGCTTACCTGGTAACAACTCCTATCTAACTATATAACAATACTGACAGAGAGGCTTACCTGGTAACAACTCCTATCTAACTATATAACAATACTGACAGAGAGGCTTACCTGGTAAAATATTCTTGACTCTATTTTTACCAAGGTTTTCTGGTAACATAGCTGCTTTATATTCATCTGTATCCATGGTATGGGTGACTTCCTGCACTGCCTATATAATATAAGGCAAAAGTTATGAAGCAAAAAACACTTCTCTAAACTAGAATATGTCTGTAAGACTTTAATGTCCCTATTCCTATGCATACAATAACCTGATCGGGTATAGAGTTTGATGTTATGATACAATGGTGTAAATATAAACTAAATCTCTTGAGAGGTTCTCAAGACACGAAACTGATTCAGACAAATAATAACCCGAAGCAAATGTGATAAAGGATTGTGCAGATTCCCATCGTTAGATATTCCAGCTGTTACCTGGAACTGATCCTCCAGGGGAGTTGTAAGTTGGTCTGGCTTAAGGGTGGACATTTCCTCATACTTCCGTCTGTATTGGTCGTTTGGTATTGTAGTATCTCCAGCCTTCAGAGCCTCTAACAGTGCTTCATACACAAACACATACTGCTCCTGTTATTTAATAAGAAATTTCATATTTTTGTAAAAATTCCACCTTTTTTTTCATTTTTATTACACAATGACTACCAAAGTTTCATTTTTATGAAAAACACAGCTTAAACATTTTTTACCATTTTTTTCTTATACTATATCCTTTTTGTATGCATGTTAAAAACTACAATCATGAAGTTTAACAGATGAAATTTATAGAATATTACAAATGTTTGGTTCTGAAACCTACCCAGGTCTGAATCATGTTTATCCTGTTACATCTCATGAGTTGGGCACATCTCAACACATCCACTACTCCCTCAGCTTTAGCCTGGTACATCAGATAGTCCAGGGCAATGTATGTCCCTGACCGTCCGATACCAGCACTGGAATACAACATAATGACAATCAACCACTACAACCATCAAATTAAAAAAAAATCACAGATCTGTTTACTTAATGTCAATTGTATCTTTGTGATGGGATATTTTCTCTTAACTATTATTATTGGATATCATATCTTGGCAACAGCAGAAATCTGACTAATATTGGAAATTTACATCTTTCAGCAAAATTTGAAATATACTATGTGAATATGGCACTTCAAATATAACTTTAGTACAAATCCATTTAACACACTTTATCAATCCTGTTGTTCTACCATTGTATAAAAGTGAATGTTTGAATACTACTAAATTAAAACTGAAATTATTGAAGCTTATTAATACCATCCCAAATACTGTAACTCGCTTCATACTATTATACACACCAATGACGACACATCTTAACTTAATTCACTGATGCACCTGTTAAAGTCTTCAAACCTACTCAACAGAATATAATTATTGTAGCCTACAAGCTTTATCTTACTACAAGTGTACTACATGAACTGAGCAACTGAAGATAAGTTATTACAAATCATTAACAAATTTGCATTTCAATTAATGCTGCACAATTTAAGAAGCTTACTATCACATTCCACTAGAGGAACCAATGCAACATGCTACGTTGGTTTTCATGGTACAACTAGGGTTAGTATTGGATGAATTACCTGCAGTGTACGACGATTGGAGCAGTACTTTCTGGTGTGTATGTTTCAACCTTACGCTTGAATGTAAGCAGCGGTGTAGGATAGGTCAGTGCTCCATGGTCCGACCATGATGTGAAGTGAAACTGTTTCACAGTCCGACTAGCCTCGTTCTTCAAAAACACAAGGATTGGACACAACTAAATGCAAGGCATGCACAATAACAATTGAAGTCATTATGGGAATCTTTTAACAAACTTCAATCAATACCAAGCTCTAAAATTCAAACAAGTATGAATACCTAGTCAAAACTATAGTGTCTATCATCATCCAATATGTGAATTCATGATGTCAGGAACAGAACATTCATGGTGGAGAAAGAAAACACATGCAAAAGTGGAAAAAAGATTTCAAAGTTTTATTTAATAATGACTAGCTTTTACCAAGCAAGCTTGTTAATCTTGCCCAATATGCTATTTCTGATGTCCTTTAACACATGTCAAGGACAGGGACTTACAGAATAGTTGCTTACAGGGTTATTGATAAAAACGACCTGTTGACATGAACAAAATGTTGACACTTAGGTGGGTTAAGTAGGGTATGCAAGGGGTAGTAGCAGGGCATAGTTGTTTTTTGAAAAAGATGGGTTGCTGAGTCAGGTGTACTACATATGTAGGTTATGAGGGTCAATAAGGGTGGGTTGTTGAGCATGTGTGTTGTTGAGAAAACGGTGGGTTGAAAAAGGTGGGTAGTTGAGATGAGTGTGTTGCCATAACAGTTTTAATCTACTAAAATTGGTGGGTTACTGAAAACAATAATGGATTTTTGTCAAAAGTATTTATTGCAAAGATTGAGTGGGTCATCAACAAAGCTTAAGCAGTGGTAGGTTATTGTGGGTGTACACTTATTACAGATGTGTATGTCTATTACAGATGATGTTGTTTTATCGAGAGGCTACCAGTTTCTTTAAAACAGAATACTTACAAATTTTATTGTATAGATAAAGAGGAACAAGGAAATCTGGTATCAGTGGAATTTTACACTAATCATTCTCTGTGTGTGGTACGCATGCTTCTTTTGTAGATTGTAAGTCTACACTAAAACTTATAGAGATGCCCATGCAAAAGAAGACCTATGATATTATTCCTTAATAGGGTGGAATTGTGGGTAAAATCATTCAAGATTATAACAAAATTTTGACAAAATACTTGTTGACATATTTTTATATCATGAAGACACTAAAACACCATTCGAACTTAAAAAAATCTTGAAATTTTGTTAAGGATACCTAGTCTGTGAAAGGAAGGTATGACTACTGCAAAAAAAATACCTGATGTTTTAGAGACACACATTTAGTACTAACTAAAAAGAGTAGGACAAACACATACAAAAGGGCCATTCAGTTGTGAAGATTGTATGACTGGTTGTCATCTAATCTGTTACATACTTACCAGCGAGACATTAAATGTGCGGATGGTAAAATCAGTAAACACGGCTGTATCGAGGATCTCCACATTAATACTCCCATACTTCATACTGCCACTGTCGGGCCAGTACTGTTCACACTTTTTCTGGGGATAGACAAAGCATGATATCATTACACATTGCAATGCCCTATTCTATTCAAACTGATCACATATATATGTATCTGTAGGGGCACCATTCATTTAGTCAGACTTTCCTCCATCATCTATCCTAGATATACAGGATAATATATACTATTCCAATTCAAAGATCCACCTTACCCTGTATCTTGATTTTATAATATGCATTCACCACAAACAATGACTCATCTTGAACTTATAACACATATACACAAGTTCCAGCCATGAAAAGGACAATTACACCAACATTTTAGAATATGTGGCATAGTAGGTAATATTCATGAAGGTTTCAATTTCGTCTCTATTTTATTAAACCACTAAAGTAGTATCCTTCGCCTGTTTGTGGACACAATTTCACTCACCTTGCACGCTTCCATGACATTGGTGAGCATGACAATTTTACAGGTCTTTTTCTGCCATACCATTCTCCAAAAGTCTCTTAACATCACTTTTGTTGCCCCTGTCACAAAAATTTCACACGTTAAAATCAAATTTTCTTTTCTGGAATAGATTTGTCCAAAGAATATTACCAGTTAAGTCAAAACATTAAAAAACACTCAGAAACATGAATATCACCTTTGATCTTTTTAAATGTATTCAAAGTTCAGAGTGAAAATAACTGAACAAAACCTATGACATGAAATTTCTCAGAAATCTGATGACTAACATAACTGATGAAACATGAAGATTTGTATTATTTGAACAAATGTATAGATTACTTGGCATGATAGCACTTACCCTGTGATGCTATATATGCACTTGCCCTTGTATAACCCTTTGTAAAAGAGAAAAAGTAAAAATATTTAGAATTTCAAAAACTTAATTTTACATGTATAACCATTTTGGCAAAGCAAAACATGTAAATGTTACAAACTGACAGATAAAATTATCTAAACTTCATACAGGTGAACTATTAGTCCTTTAAATTTTTATCTATTGAAGAAAGATTTCTCATTTTATCAGTTTGTAATTAAAATAAAATATGCAAAACTACACAAATGTATGTAACTCACATCAATATAATTAGCATTGATGTAATCAGCTCCGACCTCATCTGCATATTCCTCCCCAGGGTCCAGTAACACTCTGGAGTGATCGTCTGAAATATACGTAGAAATTGTATTATCAGAGTAGAAAGATGTCATCCTATACTCAGTAGAAACATCACAGTTAAGAAGGATCCATTAATTGAATAAATTTATGATGCAACGATCTAAATCTACACTCCCTTAGTTTTTGGCTTGTTGAATATCAAGTTGTTTACATAATCTTTATCAATATTAAAGTAAAAACTCACATGCAATGATGTTGCCATATCTGTTTTTTGGCCTATTTTCTGGTTTCTTTGCTGCCTCACACAAAGCCATCAAGCCATGGGGAAGTTCCTGTATGTAACACATATAAAAACATTTGGAATAGACACTATCAACTACATGTTGTAACATACAGGTAACAATAGCAGAATACTTTGGTGGGAAAAATAGGGAGTTCCAATGCCCATATAGAGTACAGCTGGTCCCACTTGTTGGATTCAATAATGCAAATGTTTCAAAACTAGGAATCAATCATATGAAATACTTTTGTGATTGTAAAAAAGAAGCGTTCTTTCACTCTATCATATTAAAGTCAGGATGGACGGACCAAACTTTGGCTCAACTAGAAATATGGACATCAGTCAAATGTTGTATTAACCCTTCATTCACATGCTGGTATGATTCTTTAATTTTTTCCCATATTTTCCACCCTTAAGATAAAGATGACATCAAATCTATGATACAAGAATTAAACTTCGCATTTGACATAGACATCATTTGACTCCATATCTGATGTTTTAAAACCAAATTAACAGCTTCTCCTGTTAATAAAACCAATGAAATATGAAATGTTGTTCCTTCATTTCACTCTCTATCACCCAGATTACTTATACAGAGATGAAAGAATTTTGCTTTCAGTTCAAAAATGTTTTTCAGAGGAAAAGACAATATGTGATTGTGTACTTACAGCAAATTCTTTTTTGAAGCCGTCACATTCCTGTGCTTTGTTAAGTTTGATGTAGTCATATAGATCTTGAACTTTGACAGGCATGCTCTGTTTGTGTGTGTTTACATTGGCATATATAGGTTCCTCCTCACTGCGTTCTGGCTCCAAACTCGCCACACCTGTGATGATGGGAAACACTAATGATCTGGGCACTGCTAACATGTATACAAATTGTAGTTTTCCTATGTAAGGCGTATTTCCCTTGTTAAAACTACCAAATTATGATACTATGACAAACCAGTCCTGGAAATCATGTATTAAATTACCTTCAGTGCAGTAATGAAGACTTTACCAAGATTGCAAAAGGAAAAGATATAGAACCCATTCCACCTATTTTAACATAAATGAAAGTAGGAACGTACCATTTGCACGTAGCAGCTGATCGGTTTCCCTAGTACTCTCAATGGGATCTTCTTCAACAGGTAGTTTGTTGGTCTTTTCTTTCTGTTGGACTTCCAAAGTCTTGTTAAACTTCCTTTTTCTATAGAAAATCAATATCATGTTAATGCTAACCTTAACCAGCATCACCATGGATACTGTGATATCCTTAACAACACCAGAACCATCAAGTTTCAGACACATACAAATCAAATACAGTTTGAAAAATTATCATCAGAAAAACTTGGCTGGTTCTGGGGTTTAATTTTCTACATTCAATCAACCATCAACATTATGGACTACTAACTATATCCCAGGGACATCAATCTACCATCAACATTATGTACTACTAACTATATCCAAGGGACATCAACATTATGGACTACTAACTATATCCATGGGACATCAACATTATGGACTACTAACTATATCCAAGGGACATCAACATTATGGACTACTAACTATATCCATGGGACATCAATCTACCATCAACATTATGTACTACTAACTATATCCAAGGGACATCAACATTATGGACTACTATCAACATTATGGACTACTAACTATATCCATCAACATTATGGACTACTAACTATATCCATGGGACATCAACATTATGGACTACTAACTTTATCCATGGGACATCAATCTACCATCAACATTATGGACTACTAACTATATCCATGGGACATCAACATTATGGACTACTAACTATATCCATGGGACATCAATCTACCATCAACATTATGGACTACTAACTATATCAAAGTTACATCAACATTATGGACTACTAACTATATCCATGGGACATGGGACATCAATCTACCATTTATGGACTACTAACTATATCCAAGGGACATCAACATTATGGACTACTAACTTTATCCATGGGACATCAACATTATGGACTACTAACTATATCCAAGGGACATAAACATTATGGACTACTAACTATATCCATGGGACATCAACATTATGGACTACTAACTATATCCAAGGGACATCAACATTATGGACTACTAACTATATCCATGGGACATCAACATTATGGACTACTAACTTTATCCATGGGACATCAACATTATGGACTACTAACTATATCCAAGGGACATCAACATTATGGACTACTAACTTTATCCATGGGACATCAACATTATGGACTACTAACTTTATCCATGGGACATCAACATTATGGACTACTAACTATATCCATGGGACATCAATCTACCATCAACATTATGTACTACTAACTTTATCCATGGGACATCAACATTATGGACTACTAACTATATCCAAGGGACATCAACATTATGGACTACTAACTTTATCCATGGGACATCAACATTATGGACTACTAACTATATCCATGGGACATCAACATTATGGACTACTAACATCAACATTATGGACTACTAACTTTATCCATGGGACATCAACATTATGGACTACTAACTATATCCATTGTACATCAACCTTATGGACTTCTAACTATATCCATGGGACATCAACATTATGGACTACTAACTTTATCCATGGGACATCAACATTATGGACTACTAACTTTATCCATGGGACATCAATCTACCATCAACATTATGGACTACTAACTATATCCATGGGACATCAACATTATGGACTACTAACTATATCCAAGGGACATCAACATTATGTACTACTAACTATATCCAAGGGACAACAATCTACCATCAACATTATGGACTACTAACTATATCCATGGGACATCAATCTACCATCAACATTATGGACTACTAACTATATCCATGGGACATCAACATTATGGACTACTAACTATATCCAACATCAACATTATGGACTACTAACTTTATCCAAGGGACATCAACATTATGGACTACTAACTATATCCAAGGGACAACAATCTACCATCAACATTATGGACTACTAACTATATCCAAGGGACATCAATCTACCATCAACATTATGTACTACTAACTATATCCCAGGGACATCAACATTATGGACTACTAACTATATCCATGGGACATCAATCTACCATCAACATTATGGACTACTAACTTTATCCATGGGACATCAACATTATGGACTACTAACTTTATCCATGGGACATCAACATTATGGACTACTAACTTTATCCATGGGACATCAACATTATGGACTACTAACTATATCCATGGGACATCAACATTATGGACTACTAACTATATCCATGGGACATCAACATTATGGACTACTAACTATATCCATGGGACATCAACATTATGGACTACTAACTATATCCATGGGACATCAACATTATGGACTACTAACTATATCCAAGGGACATCAACATTATGTACTACTAACTATATCCATGGGACATCAACATTATGTACTACTAACTTTATCCATGGGACATCAACATTATGTACTACTAACTTTATCCATGGGACATCAACATTATGGACTACTAACTGGGACATCAACATTATGGACTACTAACTATATCCATGGGACATCAACATTATGGACTACTAACTATATCCATGGGACATCAACATTATGGACTACTAACTATATCCATGGGACATCAACATTATGGACTACTAACTTTATCCATGGGACATCAACATTATGTACTACTAACTTTATCCATGGGACATCAACATTATGGACTACTAACTTTATCCATGGGACATCAACATTATGGACTACTAACTTTATCCATGGGACATCAACATTATGGACTACTAACTTTATCCATGGGACAACAATCTACCATCAACATTATGTACTACTAACTATATCCAAGGGACATCAACATTATGGACTACTAACTATATCCATGGGACATCAACATTATGGACTACTAACTTTATCCATGGGACATCAACATTATGGACTACTAACTTTATCCAAGGGACATCAACATTATGGACTACTAACTTTATCCATGGGACATCAACATTATGGACTACTAACTTTATCCATGGGACATCAACATTATGGACTACTAACTTTATCCATGGGACATCAACATTATGGACTACTAACTATATCCAAGGGACATCAACATTATGGACTACTAACTATATCCAAGGGACATCAACATTATGGACTACTAACTATCCATCCATCAACATTATGGACATCAATCCAAGGGACATCAACATTATGACTACTACTACTAACTATATCCATGGGACATCAATCTACCATCAACATTATGGACTATTAACTATATCCAAGGGACATCAACATTATGGACTACTAACTTTATCCATGGGACAACAATCTACCATCAACATTATGTACTACTAACTATATCCAAGGGACAACAATCTACCATCAACATTATGGACTACTAACTATATCCAAGGGACATCAACATTATGGACTACTAACTATATCCAAGGGACATCAACATTATGGACTACTAACTATATCCAAGGGACATCAACATTATGGACTACTAACTATATCCATGGGACATCAATCTACCATCAACATTATGGACTACTAACTATATCCAAGGGACATCAACATTATGGACTACTAACTTTATCCAAGGGACATCAACATTATGTACTACTAACTATATCCAAGGGACATCAACATTATGGACTACTAACTTTATCCATGGGACATCAATCAGACTACAGAGATGTCTGGAGTCTTATATCGGTACATGTTAGATACTACCACCAGAGTGATGAAATGAGGAGTTTTTGCACTTACCTGTACACAATAAATACTATGATAGCTATGATCACAAGGAAGATGATGGTTCCTGCGACAACCCCACCAGTGGCACCAGCATTAGCACCAGCACTATTGATCATCACTAAAAATATGTGTAATTAGTTTAATTACCTTTCTGTAACTATGGTTTTGTGATGTTGAGAGAAGGAAATTGGGGTTAGGATACCGATTCTGTCATGTCACCAGTAAGAGTGTGATAGCCTTGTTATGTGAAACCTATCCTGTAAGTAACAGCAACTGGATATTCATGACTGGGTATATTTCAAACAAGGGCATAATATTTGTTGGCTACTTGTTGCCAACATACTGTCATAAATATCTTACAAAATTTTCAATGGGGCATTATATTTCAAATACAGGACACTATGTTAGAAAATGAAAATATGATACAGCTTGTACACTTATATCAGAAACAGTAATAAAAAATTCAGTTCCATAGAACCTATCTAATATTAATGTTTAGTACCTGTACTATTAGTGATAGTCCTATAACATATTTACTTAGCAAATATACACCTCATAATAATACAGATTGTCTGGTTCTATACCACTGACCCTGAAAAGTTACAGCAAGATGCTATGTAAAATTCATGTTTTGTAAGGGTTTGCAAACTCAATCTGTAAGCTTTACTCTAGGCACATATAAAAGTTTATATAACTACTCGCACTGGCCACTAATACTGATTTGTATACCAGGGCAAATATAAAAGTGTGTACTACTTTTGTCAGCCTCACACTGAACACATGTAACTACCTTTGTATCCTGAAGCACATCTTAAAGTGTGTACAATCTGTCTTACCTTGGGCACAAATACTGCCTGTATATCCTGGGGCACACCCTGTCACACACTCTCCGGTCTCTATGTCACATGGTTCTTCATCTTTACAACTGCCACAGGTGTTGGAACAGTTCTGACCATACAGGCCTTCATCACAACCTGTAATGTTTATTTCCCCAAAATTCTTATTTAGTGCAGGTTACTCCACAACTAAAACACTAATCTTTGAACAGATTTTCTGTGTTGTGTCTAACTTCTACAAAGACTAAATACATACACTTACAATGTTAAACACCACAGACTTTTAAACAAAATATGAATTCACATAAGTAGATAAAGTGATCACCAAATCTTAAAAACTGAAGTGGAAATCTAATCGCACAGTTAGTAATAATATACGGTAAAACCTCGTTATCTCGACCTCATGTAAGTGGAAGATCCTGCTTAATTTGGAGCAATTGTCCGTCCCTGCCTAACTTTACACAAAACATTTGAACTCGATTAAATTTTGAATACTCAGTTGTTTCAAAGTTTTTCCACGGTCCTGCGGAGTTTGAAATAACGAGGTTTTTCTGTACAATACAGAATATGAGAAATATTGTAACTGTTTCATACGTATATAAAATTTATTTCTATCATTATCTTTTGAATGCCCACCCAAGTGCCTTTTGCTTACATCCTTCACTTTTCACAGGGCAGGAGCTCTCATATTCATTGACAACAGACCAATATATCAGAGTTGATAGAACTTCAGAATAATTCAGATTACAAATCAGTCATCTTTGTACAGGGCAAGTCATTTGTTAAAGCATGTAGAGACTGAGCTTTAGTAACAGTTTACACAACTACAAAATATCTGTAAGGCATAAATGCCCAAACTTCCATGCATGTTAATATCATTGTTGGATGAATATACAGAAATTGACATGGTGTAGAAGATAGTGAGTAAATAGGAACCAAATGTGTTCAGAGCTTCTCAAGATGTGACATTTCTTTTTAATATAACAGCACATGATGCAACTTTAAAATATGCTGAGAACCAAACTTACCCTGGTCGCAGAGATAGCTGGTCCATCCAGGGCTACAGCCCAACACACATCTCCCGTCCACATGGTGACAATATGACTCATCCTTACACTTCCCACAATTCTTGGAGCAGTTCATGCCATAAGTGCCACTAGAACAGCCTTTTTGACATAAAAAAATGTGCAGATTTTCAATTCTGTGAATGAATATCTTCATATCTTAATACAAATACTCCTGTTCACAGTATCTCTGTTAAAGTAACACAAGAATGATTGCAAGTAACACTGTATAAAACCCTTTTAGTATACATTACAATAAGATAATTATTTTACCATCAATATTGCACCCCAAAATTTCAGCTGATTATTACAAAAACATTCCAGCAGTATTCTCATGATCACAGACTACAATATATCTGTATACAACATTATCAGGCTTACCTGTCTGACAGAACACCCCCAAGTATCCCTCTGAACACCCACTTAGACATTGGCCAGATAGCTTGTCACATGACATACCATCCAAACAGTTACCACAGGTACTCAGACAGTTTTCACCATAGGTACCAGGGCTGCACTCTACAACAATCGACAAGACAAAGATGCTAGTATGTAACTTAGAACATAACAATGTTATTTATTTGAATGTAAACTTTTTGACAGAGAGATAAAAATCATTGATGAATTCAGTCATAGGAACAAGGTTTTAAGGTAGCATGTAAAATGTTCAAATTCTCAGAGCTTAACATTATGTTTATCATGATCTGTCTGATATCAGAATTGAGTTAATGATGAAACAGGTGATTTCCTCACGATGGGTGTTTGACTTAAACAGTAGACAAACATCAAATCAGTCTGGTATGAGGACATATACTTGAGCTATTGATTTGATTTTGTGATGTTCTCGGGTGTAGGAACTATATATAACCTGTTAGTTTGTGGATACAGCCCTGTGCCACTACTTCCTTTATGGAACTTCACAGAACCATCTCTTTCTCTAGAAAAACTGTATGTGATGTTTTGATCAACATCAAGAAATGATGAACAAAAACGGTTTTCAAAGAAACTAAGCAATACATGGAGTACTTTATATTTGGGTTTATTTCAATTTTGCTATTTATAGTATTTGAAATTTTAACATGGAGCTGTTCCAGATATTGCTACTATATACTTAAAACATCAAACCATTTTATGGAATTAATTAATTTTCTAAATAATTGACCACTTACCTTGTTTGCAAGTATCGCCATGGTAACCAGCCTCGCATCCCTCAGAACATACCCCAGATTCGAAGTCACATAAATCTTTTTTACAGTTGCCACAGTCTTCCTTACACATCAACCCATACTTTCCAGGAGGGCATTCTAAAAAATGAAAACAATAAGAATTTTTAACAGTTGAGTAACACTGAAACATACTGATTATACAACAAAACATGTTTGTCATCTTTTAAGAGTAAAGAGAATATTTCTTACAAATTTATACAAGAAACAAAATAGGTCATGGATAATCCCAAGATTTATATAATTTTAGAGCTACATGAAGAGATGTCAATATTCTAAAAAAAACACTGTTTTCTTCTTTGAAAGTTTGGTGATTTCCAGTACTAATGACAAAAAAAAAAAAAAAAAAACCTGCACAAAAAAACCATATGTCCTTATATGAAATGGTGCAATGGTGATACATCTTCTAGGAACTAAAAAAATGGATGCAATTTCAACAGTTTGATTCCCAAATGGTGTCTGTATATTTGGCTATAAACTTACTTGTCTGACATCCTGGTTCACCAATCCAGCCTGGATGACAGCCACTGGTACATTTCCCCGTCTTCTGGTTACAGTCTGACGTAATATCAGCACAGTGACACTCATACAAACAGTTGGGACCATATCTCCCTACCTCACATGCTGGAATATGAAAAAGATTACCAATTTACAAATCATCTTGACAATACAAAAATATGTGAACATATATATGTATCTTTTTTTCAGTAGGTGACATCAAATGTACCATATTTTCCAATTTATAAGTTGTGTCTGTCTATAAGTCGCAGAACCATAATCTTTAACCTTTCCCCCCAATTTGATCCACATATAAGCTTTTTTATGATACGGTGACCACTATTTTTGACATTTGATATACTGGTAACAGATAACATAATGCAGTTCTTACAAAGTGGTAGCTGTTGTAGTCGCAGTTGGTGCAATAAATATATTAAAACAGCTGAAAAGTGGCCTCTAATGTTATAGGAGTATACCATCTCGTATTGGTACGCATCCTGTTTTTTCTTTTTCATCAAGCCAATTTTTTCCCCGTCCACAAATAGACTTCACCTGGATATAAACCGCACGCCCGACTCACCAGGTGTGGCTTATAATCCCGAAAAATTTAGTACACAGTAAAATGTAGCTGTCAATTTCCCTTATTCTACAGCAGTCTGAAAGTATGCTGCATAGATCATACTAAGTACTGTAGACACATGTACAGCTCCATGCTCAAGTATAGACCATACTAAGTACTGTAGACACAGCTGTCTGTAAATGTATAGACCATACTAAGTACTGTAGACACAGCTGTCTGTAAATGTATAGACCATACTAAGTACTGTAGACACAGATTTCTGTATATGTATAGACCATACTAAGTACTGTAGACACAGCTGTCTGTAAATGTATAGACCATACTAAGTACTGTAGACACAGCTGTCTGTAAATGTATAGACCATACTAAGTACTGTAGACACAGATTTCTGTATATGTATGGACCATACTAAGTACTGAAGACACAGATTTCTGTATATGTATAGAACATACTAAGTACTGTAGACACAGATTTCTGTATACCGGGGGGGTATGTATAGACCATACTAAGTACTGTAGACACAGATTTCTGTATATGTATAGACCATACTAAGTACTGTAGACCCAGATTTCTGTATATGTATAGAACATACTAAGTACTGTAGACACAGCTGCCTATTATTGTATAGACCATACTAAGTACTGTAGACACAGCTGCCTATTATTGTATAGACCATACTAAGTACTGTAGACACAGCTGCCCGTTTAGTTATTTCAGTTATACAGATTGGTATTAGTGCAGTAATGAATGTGTCTATTTGTACACTACAAATATGGGGCATTGTTATGTACTAGGTATACTCTACCTTCCTTTCTTGTTATTCCACATGAAGCAAATTTTAATGAATCCCAGTCGTAGCTACACCATGGATCCGTTGGTATGCCGTTAAAAGTATCAAGTCTGGAATCACCAGTAGGAAAACGACAGTAGGGACCTGGAAATACCTTATCTGGGAAATTCTTGCCAGATAATCCCAACAATGCAGTCGCTATGGAGTTGTTCCAATCCTGACATTGATGCAAAGTTCCGTCTTTGAAAAAAGTTCCTATGTTACCTTGGTAGTTCTTCCCGTCTGCAGTATATTTGTAGTCATTTTCTGGTGGAAGTAAAAGTTACTCAAATTGTCATTTTAGTTTAACCATGTTTTGTTATTACATCAGAGACTCAATAACACTGTATCAACCAATTCTTACAAAGGTATCACAGTTCACAAAAGAAATATCTAGAATCTATGGCCTTTGGAGAAGACTCAGCTAATTTCTTTCTTTATTCATGTTCGATATTTTGGTTAAGCAAACTGGTTTAATCAAATTGATATGAAATAACATTTTACTTAAAAGATATATCCTATACATGTAAGGAATTTCCAAAACCATCAAAAACTTTGAGATATAAGGCCTTTCTGTATCTGCTGGTATGTGTACATTTAAAACACTTAAAGAAAAAATCTACACTTGGAGAAATGCTCCAAGAACCAACATCCTGCCAAGTTTGTATGTGTGTTGTGGTACATCTAAAAGGTTTCAGGTGGATCCTTACTCATACACTGAGCCTTTTTAAACCAAAAGGCCCAGAGGGCCTGTATCACTCACCTAGATCTTTATGACCAACAGTACTATATCTGTGCATATGTTCGACAGTAGATGTTTAAAGCAATATGACAAATTACTCCATATGGAATTGAATTGAGACTTTCTTATAATGTTTCTAGTTAAATATAATTGACAGGAAAAATTAAGGTACATGTAATTATAAACCATAATCCTAACTCAAAACCAATAATAAAACGTTTCATGCATATCATTAGTCAGCTAAGTCCTGTCCACTGGAGATCTAGTGATAACAGTTTACTGTAGATCTATAAACACTGCATAGCAAATGGCTTCAACTTAGAATTTCTTATTTATCTATACGATAATTACGAAGAATCTTATGTCACAATGAAGCACTTGCCATTCCCTTTCTGATCATGTTTTCTTTATTTTAATGATGTGAATAGAACATAAGTAATTGGCTCACATGTATTTTTTTCACTGTGTAACATTAACAAATACCAGGAATGAAAGACAAATATAAGGAATGAAAGACCTAAGCTAAGACAGCAGGCTAAGGATCCTTTAATTACCGACACTGAGGCACAGAAGATTTAGAGGAGATATGCTTCAAGTATACAAACTAACACATGGAGGATACGATAGGGCTGTCGCGGAGGATTTCCTGATACAAAACAATAACAAGATAACAAGAGGGCACAGTTTTCATCTATTAAAAAGAAGAAGCAGACTAAATCTGAGGAAATATTCTTTCTGTGAACTGGTGGTAAACCAGTGGAGTTCACTTCCTAATGCCGTTATAACATCACCAACAATCAAAACTTTTGAATCCCGATTGGAGAATCATTGGAGGCAAACTGAATGTGTTTATTATCACGAACCAGACAATAACACACTGATCCATATCCCAGATACCAATTCTTTTAAACTCTGATCTGTATATGATCTTAATAAGCCTGTGTCCAGTATATCATTATAATTATTATTACTTATCCCAAGCATAACATTACTTATCCCAAGCCCTCCAGTGGGCATGGCCCAATCTATTTTTTTGGTAACAGTGTGACGCCACTGTGAAAGGTCTTTATAATTTTGTCCAATTCATGCCAAGAAAACTTCCAGCCAAATATGTCCTATTCATTAAGTCAGGAAGGTTCTACATATTTGTATAAAGGCCTTTACTGGCTAAATATGATAGCTTTTTGGTTAATCAGAAGAAGTTGTGTAACTATTTTACAAAATTTAACCCCAATGACCTTAAATATCATTATGGGTCCAGCTATTTTTTCACACACTATGTGGGCACCATTAAGGGAACCTTTTGGCCAAATATTATGATCCCAGGTCTTTAGGTTAATCAGAAGTTGTTCAACAGTTTAACACATTTGACTGTTGCGACCTTGAATATGGGTCAAGGTCATTTCTGTTCTCAAATATTACTGGGCATCATTGAGAACCTATCTTACAATAATATCACTATACTAGATATTTTAGACAATCAGAAAATGTCATTTAAAGGTTTAACACATTTGACACCTGTGACCTTGACTATGGGTCAAGGTCATTTCTTTTTGAAACTTTCTTGGACTTCATAAAAGGAACATACTAGCAAAATATAATGATTCTAGGCTTTTCGATATTTCCGAAGAAATTGTTTAAACGTTTTAACACATTTGACCCCTGTGACCTTGAAGATTGGTCAAGGTCATTTATTTAAGCAAACTTTGTAGGACACCGTAAGAGGAACATAGTAGCTTAATATAATGATTCCATGCCTTCCTGTATTTGGTGTGAAGTCGTTTAAAGGTTTTAATACATTTGACCTCTGTCACCTTGAATATGGGACAAGGTTATTTCTATTCCCAAACTTTGTTGGGCTTTACCATTGGAACCTTCAAGCCATATATAATGATTTTATGCTTTCCGGTAATTTGGAAGAAGTTGATTCAATTTTTTAACACATTTGACCTCTGTGACCTTGAATATGGGTCAAGGTCATTTTATTTTTTGCAAACTTTCTTGGGCTTCATCAAAGGAACCTTCCAGCCAAATATGATAACTCTTTCGGTATTTCAGAAAAAGTTGTTTAAATGAAAAGTTGACGGATGCAGGACGGACGGATGACGGGTGCTGCGCTATGGCATAAGCTCACTTGGCCCTTTGGGCCAGGTGAGCTAATAAAGTAAACAATTGACAAAAGAGAAGGGAAGCCATTCCTCTGACAATGCTGTCAATTATTTCTTTACTATATACATCTATTTGTTGTACAATAATATAGCATAGATGGACAGGAAATATCAGTCTGAAAACTATTCATGCTGCATTACATTATAAAATAAAGTATCAATTTACTTTGGAAAAACACATCAGTAATTAACGATTAGCTATACATACCAAACAGACAGCTGGAACCATAGTATTCATCTTGACAACCATTCGGGCACTCCCCTGTAATCTTGTTACAAACATCATCATTTTTACACCGGCAAGTAAATCTACACTTCCATCCAAACTTCCCATCAACACAGTCATCAGCTGAAACATAAATGGATTGTGTAAAGAATCAACATGTTTTAATTTCATCTCCTTGGCTATTTTCTCCATTCTTTGTCTACATCAATTATGATATATACATTCTGTGTATATAGTATGTATTTATAACATTGTTTTATATATATATACATACACACCGGTATGTATCAATGAAAAAAAGAATGAATAAACTTGTGAAAAATCTGTAAAATGTGAATACCCTCGCCCGGCCTCATACCCATGCAAATGTAGGTGTATATATACTGGTACTGTAAATCACTTTGATTTCATCAATACTTTATTTAACAAACTTACCTCTTTAGACATTTTCATGAATGCATGATTTCACATATGCTGATCTAGAAATTACTTTACATTCACGAATGATGAGCTATTAGATATTTGATTTCTGCAAGACTCCAATATCGGTAACAGAATCAACATGGATGCCATCCAGAATTATTTCGTACAAATATTCACGAGGTATTTGAACATGCAAATTGCCTTTCCTCGCATATTAATGCAAAAATAAATCCAACACAAAAGCTATGTGATTTACAGTACCTTTGTTTCATGAATTTCTATACATACAAATGAAGACTCTTTACCTTAAAACCCTGGACTAACATGATGTCAACATTTGTGAGGACAAAGTCATATTTGTCCTTTTCACCAACTTTGATAAAAAAAAGTGGCTTAGCTTATGATTGTTTTGATTATGATGATTCACAGAGAGATATGGAGTCCTGGACACAGGTACGGTTAGGTATATACCCAAGCCTACAGATTGTTAAGGACACAATTACAAAGAAACTTTAAGAGTTTAAATCTAAAATACCAAGATTTTTCAAAATAAGTAAGTCACATCTAATTTGTATGTCTAATAAATAATTTCTGATCTTTCTGACAGTTCCTTATATTATTATCATGAAATGCTGTAATAATTCCTGTTTATCTCTAAAGATCCAGCACTTGAAATCAATCCAGAGATTCTTTCCACTACTGATTAGATTCAAGATTCTTCCTCAACTCCTTATTTTAAATCCTTACTTTCTAACTTTTTGTATCTTATAATTCATAATAGATTTTAATACCTTTGGGGAGATTTTGTGTAACAGAAGTTGATTATCTTTGTACAATAATTTTCAAGAAATCTTATATAATATATTAGAAAACTATTGTACAAAATAATCAACTTCTGTTACACAAAATCTAATATAAAGAGGACAATCAATATTTGACTCTGAAGTTTTGATAATAACATATATACTGGTATTTGAAAATTTTCTCTTCTATAATCATATAGGTTGTAGACAAGTAGAGAATAAAACTAATGAAACAATACAGAAGTAAGTGTTGTGATAGTACACCTGTGTGCAGCAGGAACACAGCTGGATAGAACTTATATATATGTACTGTCAATTTAGGTTAGCTGCTTCAGTCATATTTGTCCTTTTCACCAACTTTGATAAAAAAAAAGTGGCTTAGCTTATGATTGTTTTGATTATGATGATTCACAGAGAGATATGGAGTCCTGGACACAGGTACGGTTAGGTATATACCCAAGCCTACAGATTGTTAAGGACACAATTACAAAGAAACTTTAAGAGTTTAAATCTAAAATACCAAGATTTTTCAAAATAAGTAAGTCACATCTAATTTGTATGTCTAATAAATAATTTCTGATCTTTCTGACAGTTCCTTATATTATTATCATGAAATGCTGTAATAATTCCTGTTTATCTCTAAAGATCCAGCACTTGAAATCAATCCAGAGATTCTTTCCACTACTGATTAGATTCAAGATTCTTCCTCAACTCCTTATTTTAAATCCTTACTTTCTAACTTTTTGTATCTTATAATTCATAATAGATTTTAATACCTTTGGGGAGATTTTGTGTAACAGAAGTTGATTATCTTTGTACAATAATTTTCAAGAAATCTTATATAATATATTAGAAAACTATTGTACAAAATAATCAACTTCTGTTACACAAAATCTAATATAAAGAGGACAATCAATATTTGACTCTGAAGTTTTGATAATAACATATATACTGGTATTTGAAAATTTTCTCTTCTATAATCATATAGGTTGTAGACAAGTAGAGAATAAAACTAATGAAACAATACAGAAGTAAGTGTTGTGATAGTACACCTGTGTGCAGCAGGAACACAGCTGGATAGAACTTATATATATGTACTGTCAATTTAGGTTAGCTGCTTCAGTTCACAAACATTCCAATGAAACTGGTGAAATGTGAGGCCTGACATGTATGCTGGTTTGCATGTATTGATACTGTGTAGACTATCAAAACATGTGTTATGTACAAACCTTGTGAAAAAGGTGACATTCCTTATCTTTATTCCATTTCTAACATACCAGATATAGCAATCATAAAAATAATAATTGCCATCACAAAGTCAATCATATGCCCAGCACTGTGAATCTGTGGGTCAGATCTGACATGAATACCAGTCAGTTATATATTTATCATGATATATCTCAATGTATTTAAATCTACCAGAATAAAAAAAGTCATTGATTTGAATTTACACTTATCTCTCAAGAATATTACCTTTTAACTATCACTTGTAATTAGTAACTAGAGCTGATAATGACACTCTTTAACTTAGAAAAATTACACATCACATCTTCCTTGATCAGCTCAATTACAATAACATATTGAATGTTTCACTTTAAACTGTTCCTTCTATAATCAGATTTAGTAATTTCACTAAATGGTAAACTAAATTATTCAATTTTTCATTTTACTGAAATACATTTTATGAACAAGGGTTAGGATAATAGAACAAAAATTAGATTTCAAAAACAATTAGATAATAGATATAACAGATGCATTTGAAAACTACAATGTAACCTATACTTAGTCCCAAAATAAATTAATAATGAAAATGAAAGTGTGGTGTGCTAATGTACAATGCACAGTTGTATATAACTGATACGTCTAGGAGCAATACAATGCATCAGGGGAAAGAAAGACATTCCCACAATCACTTTTTTCACAAGGTATTCTCCAAAGCTGGATAGCATGTTAGCTTAATGTGTCGGCGATCATTGAAGAAAAAACTGTGTGTTTAATTGGGAATGGCAGGTGAGAATGAAATTCTTCTAGATCTTCTAGATCCTGACTAGCTATAAGAGGTTTTGTGTGTGCATGTCAGAGAGAAATGAACATCTGTGGATTAGAACATTGAAGTAATATGCTTTGTTACCCAATTCTGACAGACCAGAGATGTGGGACTTGTATCCTATTACACACGTACTTTATGTGAACTCACAATCCTATACGCTCATAAACACAGAAAAATTGCCAAATTACACCTAACAAGTTCACCCAGCATACACATATAAATACCAGCATACATTTAAATTGTTACATGAGTCACTCAAACTTCTGTACAGAGGAAACATTAAATATGTGTTAGGTTTTTATCTAACAGCTGGCCATCAGGATAGTACCCAAGTTCCCCTACTATAACATGAAATGACATCAAATCAACTCTTTGCCATTTAAGTGATAATATAATTACTACATATCAGAACTTCATGTGATGTATTTTTTTCTCTATTCTAGAATCAATCAGATATGCTCCAAAGTAATGTTATAATTTACCAAGGGGAATGAACACACGAGAAACAAAGCTATTGACAAGAAAATCAATTTAGTTTTTTTAGATGCAAAACAGATAACAACTGACAAAGTACTAAAATAGGATTTCAATGGTTAAAGCAACAAGTTCATTGGTGATCTGAGGGGTGAACAGCTACAAACATTCCATCAGTTAATGAAACTGAAGTCATGAAGCCATCCATTCTATACATGCAGGTCTTGTGATCACTGGTCTATGTATAGGGAGTTCTTCAACATGCAAGTCATTTGTCAAGACATTAATCTAAACTGTTTAGAGAGAAAAAAAGTTAATTTCCGTGTATATATAAAAGTTTTTTGACTAAGTCTCAATAAAACCACAAAAATGTCTGAAAAAAAAAATCAGTTGTCTTTATTTTCAAAAAAGCTTTGTTTACTGTGTTTCTATGTATGGCCATATACACACAAAAGTATGATACACAATAATTGTGATCACATCATTGCAATAGAATGTTGATGCCTGACATGAAATATAAACATTATGTGCAAAATGTTGATAATACTTCTAATGAACTCACAATCAGTGTGCATGGGCTGTGATGCTTATAACTAATGTAGTCATTTATGTGTGTTGATACATATTCTTGTTCAACACTTGAAATAAACATTTAATGTATGTGATTAATCTGTAATTAATAATATAATCAAACATTTACCATTGTCCAAAAGACCATCACTAGTGGTACATGATTTAAATATTTGTACATGTAACAATTTTATATCAACTCCCCAAAATTCTCATCAATCTGTTCAATCATAACTTTATATTATTTACTCTTGGTGATTGCAGTACACATTTTACACAAAATGTCTGATAACACAAAAGTGATATTAACGGCATCATAGGATTATCTGTATTAAAATTATAACATGTATGTCACCATGTAATAACAGCCATACATGATATACATGTATAAATATTATCATTTTAATAATTAACAATTAAATGTATTTTTTCTGTGTACTATTTCATATGTGCACACATTAACACATTTCTATTAAGATAGACCAGCTCTGGTCTTATATCATAAAAAAAAGCACAACTGATTCTGAGAATATGATATTACACTGTTTACATGTATATGTGCAATGTCTTGTCATTTAGATATACAATGTGGTACAGACCAGTGAGATTAACTGTGATTGACACACAATTACACATGTACAGACCACAGTCCTTGTGTTAATGAATAATCAATGTTACCGATCCATCAGATTCGCTTGGATACTGTTTGAGGCTTTACAGCAAACCCTCATCATCATCAATAAGATGACAGAATGTGGTTATTGGTTAGCTCTACCGCACATCAACAAAGCTGTTAGATCTACATGGTTATATATGGGAAATCCCATTCAATCTACAAAATTACTGGTACTAAAAAGTCAAATTAACAAGACTAAAAGTTTCAAAATATAAACCAATTTGAACATATCCCATTAGTCATACTAGACATTTGTTTAGTTTGCTTTGAATTTGTTTGAATTTCAATAATAAACAAATTAAGGCTCTCGATGTAAAAAAAGGCCAGCTGTTAACTGAAGTAAGGAACAATAAAAATAATGTTTTCCATTTTGTCAAATCAATTATCTTTAAATTTTCTTTCAAATATAGGATTTGGTTAGTTAGCGCTTCACTGAATAAAATGATATTGAATCTACTTTTGTAAATATGATGATTTTGAACAAATTTAGGTGATATTGTATCTAGAAAAACCTATTAGCTTTTCAGACTACACACTAACTTTCACAAGAAAACACTCAGCTTTGAATCTTTCTATTCAGACCCCCTTTTTTATTACAAAAGTTAAGTTACAAAATGTTCGTCTACAGTGACCAGATGGTAGAAGGGGATTATGGCTTTCATCCTAAACTGGTTTAAGGCGAGCAAGAGAATTCACCATAGATTGATTGGTGTGAAGTGTTGACAGTTGTGCAAGTGCTTTGCAGAGGGCGTGGATATGATTTTCTTTTCGGAAAATGTTAGTTTGGAATTTCGATTTTTTAAATACATGGATTTTCGGTCAGTTATAATTATGGTTTTAAAAGTTACTTTTGTTTTGGTATTATATATGAATAGGGAGTGTGGGTGAATTTTGTCATGATCAGAAAGACGAAATAATACCAAAAAATAAATTACTTTAATTATATAAGACTAGTGAAGATATGGATCGTGAAATTATTTACTGTGAACGAGTGAGGGCATATAAACAGTTTACAGACCAGTAGATAGCAAAATACACAAATGTAGCCTATGATATCGTTCATATTTCACCATTACTTAAGACTTCAAATTCTTTCCATAAACCGCATTTGTTATACGTTATTTGTTTATTGTTTAGTGAAGACATAAGTCATTTCCTTCAAGATATACTAATACAAATCTAGTTTCGTGTCAGGTTAAAGAAAAGTAAATACGCGTGAGTCAGTGGAGTCGAGTCGTACTGGTTATCACAAAAGATAAATTCAAATTTTAAACATAGATCTACATAAATTGAAAGTGTTTAGTAAATATATTATCAGTACTATGGAATTTTAAAACAATAAAATCGTATAAAGTAAGTTTACCTGAGCAGAAAGCACACAAAATCCCAAATAATATCAGCAGTGGCACCACTTTCTCGATGTCTTCCGCCATCTTTAGTGCCTTCGCCACCTTGTGGCTATACCTGTTAAAAATACAGGGGAGATAATGAGACAGCTGGGCGCCGCAATATCCAGCTATGCAATGTTACGTCGAGGCGCTGAAGTAATCTGTTCAAACAATACGTTAAAGCAACAAGAGCGATTATGTAATTGAACGCGACGTGTGTTTTAGGTCTACCGCTGAACACATTAGTTACGACGAAATCGGACATTTTCGCGCAGGAGTATATGTTATATAATTTCATAAGTTAGTGTAGAAAGCTTGTAATAACCGAATTTATTACTGAAGAAAAGGCCCATCAGGTCTAGAGCTATCGTTAATACAATTCTTAGTCTGGACTAAGCTTGTGCATACAGTATACTACCAATATACAGTGATATAATACTGGGATTTGGACCCGTCAAGAATAAAAACACCGAAAAGCTTTCATTCCGGGTGATTGTGTTATCATGAAATGGAGATAGAAATTAGGCCTTCCAATGGTACAGACTTTTGCAGAATGATCCGTTGTAAAAATGTTGATATGAATGTAGGATGATCATGATTTTAACTCCCTTTAGCTGGTTGCCTTATTTCATGCCCTATATAGGTATGTACTGGGGATATATAATGCCGATAATAAGCCCATGGTATGTACATAAAAGCGTCTAGTGGTTTCTATACTCTTTACTAGAATATTCATGGACACTTGTAGAATATATAGTACTGATTACTATCACTATGCCTTTTTCCTTATTGTAAACTTTTGCTGATTGAGATATGTATGCATTTATCTTAACTTGCTGGCCCCACTTGTATAAAACATCTCAACTTGAGATTTCCTCAAGTCGAGATTTTCCTCTGCTGATATCTCCTCAAAAACGGCTTGTATAAAATTTTCTCAAGGAACAGGAGGAAGTCCTCGGCTAGGATGTCCTGCAATTCCTTGAGGAATTTTCATACAAGATATTTTCAAGGAGATATTAGCTGAGGAAAATCTCTACTTGAGGAAATCTCAAGTTGAGATATTTTATACAAGTGGGGCCTGGTTCTATATATCTTTATTTATCATTATCATTTCTTTATTGTTGACATGGTTTGATTAAGGATGTGTTTAACACAGTGTGTTATATGTACGTCTCTATTTTTGTTTGTAATGCTGTTTTGTGGTGCAGTATTGTGTTTTTGTATGTGTGTTATTTTGTTGCATACTGCTTCTAAATATTCTACATCTGTTTTATAATCGGTTATAAAAAAACTTTTGGCCTGTATTGTTATGTATAAGCACCGATGACGTAAAGCGTGACATTATCTCTCGCGCTCCGCTGTTTAAAAGAAAGGCGCATAATTATATATATATATATATAAATGTATGCTAATATTACAACAAGATTGATTTTTATTTGTTATTTTTAATTGTTACATAGAAAGTATTGAAATGGAGAACTTCTACTAGAGTACTAGCTTGATGTCTGTACAAAGTTTTGAGTACTGTGTGATTGCATTGAACGGTTTAAGAGAACTGCTCCATAAAAAATATAACTTTGTGATTTGGCCTATCTGTTTCCATGGTAACACGAAAAGTATTCAAACGGAGAACTTCCCAATAACAGAAGATACTACTAGTTTAATAGGTTTTGAGCAATTATCTTGAAGGCAGAGCGGTGGTCCAGAAACACTGAAATTTGTGACGAGGGTTATCTATTTCCATGGGAACGGAAAAAAAATAACTGGGACACTAACCTTATACATACAAAAAGTTTTACAGGGTTGAGTGGAATAGTTTCGAAGTTGTAGCTGGTAAAGGAAAGTTAACACTAATTTTGTGGGTTTTTGTTAAATATGTTTCCATGCATTATTACACATATATTGGTCCTTTCTGACCGGCGCTCTGAGACTCGGTTCACTTAAAGTTTGTGTTAATAAAAGGGCAAACTGAGGCATTTCAGGTGAAAGGCCCACCGACTCAGTGTGTGCATTCTGCTCATAAAGAGTTTTAATATTCTTTTGTTCAGTGTAGAGTGATCTGTTGTATCTGTGTTTTTATCCCAGACAAATCTCCTAATTTGCAAATGTACGCTCAAGTTATCAAAATATCCTTACCGGAGTTATTTTTACACTGACAAGCTCTGTAACCGAGGTTTTCACACCGTTTTTACGATCATTACTCAAATAGCATTGATATTGATTGTGTTTGTTTTTGCATTCATGCCCACAACACTACCTTTTATTGATAAGCAGTAGTGTTACGGGACATATTGATTGTGTCAAATGTAATAATGGAGGAGACCACCAACAAGAATTCATGGCTTTAATTTTATTTTTGGTATAATTTTTAGGCCTTTCTAACTATCTTTTCGGGTATTCTTTGTATGGACCGACAAAAAAGAATTGAAAATATCAGACAATGCACACCAGTTTTTCATTGCCGTATACTAAAACAAAGCGAGCGATGACTTTACATGAACATGTTATTAAAGAGAGTATGACGTATATTGATGCAGAAGTATTACTGTGTGTCTGCACTGTAATACTGATAATCCAAGCTGCAGAGTTCTACGCCAGAAAAAGTTTTTATTTTGTTCATAGGCATGAGTGGCAAGAGTGGTAATGAGGAGTAATGGACATGGTTGGTATACACATTGACGTGGATTAAGGGGATTAATGGCCAGTTAGACACATGTTGATTTGGATTAGGAGTGACGTGCCGGGCGGTCAGACGCAAGATGACGTTGATAAGGGGGTGCAGACACATGTAGATGTGATTTATGAGTGACATGCCGGGCGGTCAGACGCAAGATGACGTTGATTAGGGGGTTTCAGACACATGTAAATGTGATTTATGAGTGACATGCCGGACGGTCAGACGCAAGATGACATGACGAGTGACGAGGTGGTTGGTTAGGCACATTCTAACAGGGATAAGATTTCCCGGTCAGTTAAACACGCGCTGTTTAAGGTGTGACGAGCCGGGAGTTTGGACACATAATGACGCCAATTAGAATGTTTTTGATGAGTTAGACACGTGCTTATGTGGATTAGGTTTTTGACCAGTTACAGCATTTCTAGTGAATTTGCCCTTACTAACGGTGAGCGATGTATGGTGAATACCATCAAATAAGTTATAATATCAACTGGCCTTTCTGGTAACCATCTGCACTACATACCACAGCTTGTTCAGCTGTTCTTGATGTCAGTGATAATATCCAAGACCAGAGACCTATATAATGTATAAAGGTCAACATTCAGACGTCGAATTTCATAGACATTTTTTTAGCAAGCTTATCAAGTGTAATCTTTCTGTAACATCGTTTTGCAAAACATAAGGGTAATACCATATCTCTGAAAAAGATAAATGTCGAGAACCAATTAAAGAAGATATGGGGAAATCATCAACACTCTATCAACGCCAGGATTGCATAGCTAATTTAACTTTGAAACGAACGTGCCAAGATGTTCCTCACACAAAGTACCAGAAAAATTACTACGCACGCACACTTTGCAACGGTTCACCCGCGTGCACTAGTATGATGTTTTCACGAATCCCATAATTAGGCCACTGACAGGTTTCACGCACACCCTACACTCGTGACTGAATGTTTACCTTGCTAGAGCCAAAATAAAGAATTGCCATAAAACAAGATGGGTCCGGTTCTGTTAGCTCTTTGGAGTTGTCTCCTGTTGGGTAAGTATGATAATCGTATGAGAAGATTTATACTTAAGTCCGCAGTATTATTTTAGATACAATATACTTTATAGCCTAACAGATGCTAAATTGTCATGTTGTCTTAGAATCAATGCAATTTCTTTTACAATTTTCCAGGACTGGAAGTGAAATGTCAGGAACTGATTTGTACATGTATTGCTACATACAGTTATAGCATAGACGTTCTATTTACACGTAATCATATGTAATAGAGATATCATTGTTCACTGTTGATCGTCTTTCAACGTAAGTATCTGAAGTTTTACCATGAAATATAAAATTGGAAATGTAGTGAACTAGCATCGACCTTTGCCTAAACCATATCCTAAGCATCATCACTGTTCTCGAACGCGTACAAACCATCTCCCTATAATTCATAAAAGATGTTGAACTTGGTAACCAGAAAAAATTGTACTTCAAACAGATACGAGACTATACTACTCAAGCTCGTTCCAGACTTAACGTGTTGATATAATTATCGCTACATAAAACTCACAGAAACACGCTTTTCTAATGAAATCAAGATGCTTATATATCACCGAAGTTCCATTGAAACATAGTTGTACCTGGTAGCGCCGAAGGAAAAGAGTTCCATTTACATAGGATTAGCATTTCACGGCATAGGTTAGAATTTTGTTTTATTAAGACGTTCCGAGTAAAGGTTAAAGAGTTAAATCGAAATGGCGATATATGATGTAATTAAGTACTCCACAGAGGTGTATGACGTATGTAGCATTGTACAGGTGTATTTATATACTCCACAGAGGTGTATGACGTATGTAGTATTGTAGAGTTGTATTTACGTACTCCACAGAGGTGTATGACGTATGTAGCATTGTACAGTTGTATTTATATACTCCACAGAGGTGTATGACGTATGTAGTATTGTAGAGTTGTATTTACGTACTCCACAGAGGTGTATGACGTATGTAGTACTGTACAGCTGTATTTACGTACTCCACAGAGATGGTGTATGACGTATGTAGTACTGTACAGTTGTATTTACGTACTCCACAGAGATGGTGTATGACGTATGTAGTATTGTACAGTTGTATTTATGTACTCCACAGAGGTGTATGACGTATGTAGTACTGTACAGTTGTATTACGTACTCCACAGAGGTGTATGACGTATGTAGTATTGTACAGTTGTATTTATGTACTCCACAGAGGTGTATGACGTATATAGTACTGTACAGTTGTATTACGTACTCCACAGAGGTGTATGACGTATGTAGTACTGTACAGTTGTATTACGTACTCCACAGAGGTGTATGACGTATGTAGTATTGTACAGTTGTATTTATGTACTCCACAGAGATGTATGACGTATGTGGTATTGTATAGTTGTATTAAGTACTCCACAGAGGTGTATGACGTATGTGGTATTGTACAGTTGTATTTACGTACTCCACAGAGATGTATGACGTATGTAGTACCGTACAGTTGTATTTGCGTTCTCTACAGAGATGTATGACGTATGTAGTACTGTACAGTTGTATTTATGTACTCCACAGAGATGTATGACGTTTATAGTATTGTAAAGTTGTATTTACGTTCTCCACAGAGATGTATGACGTATGTAGTATTGTACAGTTGTATTTATGTACTCCACAGAGATGTATGACGTATGTAGTATTGTATAGTTTTATTTATATACTCCTCAGAGGTGTATGACGTATATAGTATTGTACAGTTGTATTTACGTACTCCACAGAGGTGTATGACGTATGTAGTACTGTACAGTTGTATTACGTACTCCACAAAAGTGTATGACGTATGTAGTTTTGTACAGTTGTATTTACGTACTCCACAGAGATGAATGACGTATATCGTATTGTACAGTTTTATTTATATACTCCTCAGAGGTGTATGACGTATGTAGTATTGTACAGTTGTATTTATGTACTCCACAGAGGTGTATGACGTATGTAGTATTGTAGAGTTGTATTTACGTACTCCACAGAGGTGTATGACGTATGTAGTATTGTAGAGTTGTATTTACGTACTCCACAGAGGTGTATGACGTATGTAGCATTGTACAGTTGTATTTACGTACTCCACAGAGGTGTATGACGTATGTAGTATTGTAGAGTCGTATTTACGTACTCCACAGAGGTGTATGACGTATGTAGTATTGTAGAGTTGTATTTACGTTCTCTACAGAGATGTATGACGTATGTAGTATTGTACAGTTTTATTTATATACTCCTCAGAGATGTATGACGTATGTAGTATTGTACAGTTTTATTTATATACTCCTCAGAGGTGTATGACTTATGAAGTATTATAAAGTTGTATTGTCAAACTCCACAGTGATGTATGACGTATTGTACAGTTGCGTTTACCGCTATTCTCCACAGAGTTGTATGACTTAATTAAGTGGCATGTTTTACAGGTAATGACCAATGTATTATATTTCACAAGGCGATGGGGTGCTAATCTAATTGTACTAAACACCGAAAATAATTATCTGATTTTAATTGTAATATAAGATAAGAGATTTACACTTGCCCGTCGCCGTCCCACTGTAAAACAGTACTAGATACCTAGTCTATTTATCTGACTTCGATTGTAATATAAGATAAGAGATTTACACTTGCCCGTCGCCGTCCCACTGTAAAACAGTACTAGATACCTAGTCTATTTATCTGACTTCGATTGTAATATAAGATAAGAGATTTACACTTGCCCGTCGCCGTCCCACTGTAAAACAGTACTAGATACCTAGTCTATTTATCTGACTTTGATTGTAATATAAGATAAGAGATTTACACTTGCCCGTCGCCGTCCCACTGTAAAACAGTACTAGATACCTAGTCTATTTATCTGACTTTGATTGTAATATAAGATAAGAGATTTACACTTGCCCGTCGCCGTCCCACTGTAAAACAGTTCAGGCCTGGTGTATTGTTTTTATTATCGACCGTTTCATACTTCAGTTGTGTCCTTTATTATTTTCTGCGTGAAATATTGTATCCGATTTAACAGGATACTTACTTAATATTGTTTGAAGTTTAAACATAAATGAAATAATTTCAATATTTCAAGGTCACTTGAAATCGTATCGTCTTTAATGACATTCGATCAAACATTTTAACATTTTAGAAAAGTAACAACTCGTATGATCAAATTGATATCATACAAAGAAACGATGACAGTTCGCCGTCAAAATGGCTGTTCTACTTTACGGATTACACTGTCGATAAAGAATCATTTACTTTACTTTAAGGCAAGTTATTGTCGGTGTAAACTAAATACACTCTCAGAAAATGTAAAAAACAAACAAAACAAAAAAAGGACACAAAAAGCAACCATCCATAGAAAAGGAATACCATAAATGATATCAATAAAAAACACAAAAAAACCTATTGGAATGATCTTGTTATAGTATCAATAACCATTATATATAACAAGTTTTACAAGCAAACAAGCATCATCTGTTGTTTTCCTGCTATGGAGAATATAAACGCTTTTTGGAGAAACACATTTCCAACCACAAGTCAAAGGAACATGATTTTTCGAACCTATCCGGTTGTGTAGGTCCAGGTAAGCATATTCTTATTTACTAGCCACATAGTGGTACTTAGACATTCACACCTCTTTTTTGAAAATAAGAATCATTAGTGCCTGTATCACAGATCCCTGTATCACAGATCCCTGTATCACTGGTCCCTGTATCACTAGTCCCTGTATCACTGGTCCACTGGTCCCTGTATCACTAGTCCCTGTATCACTGGTCCCTGTATCACTAGTCCCTGTATCACAGTTCCCTGTATCACTGGTCCCTGTATCACTGGTCCCTGTATCACTGGTCCCTGTATCACTGGTCCCTGTACGACTAGTCCCTGTATCACTAGTCCCTGTATCACTAGTCCCTGTATCAATAGTCCCTGTACGACTAGTCCCTGTATCACTAGTCCCTGTATCATTTGTCTCTGTATCACAGGTCCCTGTATCAATAGTCCCTGTATCACAGGTCCCTGTATCACTAGTTCCTGTACGACTAGTCCCTGTATCACCAGTCCCTGTATCATTTGTCTCTGTATCACAGGTCCCTGTATCACTAGTCCCTGTATCATTTGTCTCTGTATCACAGGTCCCTGTATCACTAGTCCCTGTGTCACAGGTCCCTGTATCAATAGTCCCTGTATCACTGGTCCCTGTATCACTGGTCCCTGTATCACTAGTCCCTTTGTCACAGGTCCCTGTATCAATAGTCCCTGTATCACTGGTCCCTGTATCACTGGTCCCTGTATCACTGGTCCCTGTACGACTAGTCCCTGTATCACTAGTCCCTGTATCACTAGTCCCTGTATCACTGGTCCCTGTATCACTGGTCCCTGTATCACTAGTCCCTGTATCACAGGTCCCTGTATCACTAGTCCTTGTATCACTAGTCCCTGTATCACTAGTCCTTGTATCACTGGTCCCTGTATCACTAGTCCCTGTATCACAGGTCCCTGTATCACCGGTCCCTGTATCACCGGTCCCTGTATCACCGGTCCCTGTATCACTGGTCCCTGTATCACAGGTCCCTGTATCACTAGTCCCTGTATCACTAGTCCCTGTATCACAGGTCCCTGTATCACTGGTCCCTGTATCACAGGTCCTTGTATCACTAGTCCCTATATCACAGGTCCCTGTATCACTAGTCCCTGTATCACAGGTTCCTGTATCACAAAAGGAAACGAAATCACATTTAATAGTACTTTATGAATGTTGCATTTCCTGTGTTTCAGGGCTCGGTGCTGCCACCAGTTTGAGACATGACCGTACGAAGCGGTCTTCCCACTGTTACGGAGACCTGGGCTGTTTCTCAAACGAGTACCCGTTCAACAATTCTGATGGGGCCTTGCCTTTATCTCCAAGTCAAATACGTCCAACTTTCCTACTTTTCTCCGAAAGAAGTATTCCAAGCGCTCCCTTCCGGTTAGTGCGCAACGACAGACACAACCTATGGACGTCCGGATTTGAAGCCAGTCTCCCCACTAAGATAATTATACACGGTTTCACTCAGAACGGAAATGTACCCTGGGCGCATGACATGATGTCTGAACTTATAAGAAAGGTAATGGTAAATCTTTACTGTGTCAAGTTTGTATACGATAATTTGTGATATCCCAGGTATGTCAAACAGATCTCTACATATTGAAACCCTCCCCGATGTCTGTCGTCAAGTAGCATTTCCTTGTGCTTTTTTACTCTTATTTTTTAACTTGTCTTGTCGATATCACTGTCAGCAGAATGTTCACCTCCCGTCTTCCTGCATTCATCTTATTGTACCTTTCTTCTTTTGTCTTCTTGTGGTCTTCTCCCGTCTCACGGGAACTTGTATGAAGTGGGGCTGCGATACCGTGGAGGTTTGTATTTCTCGAAAAGCTGCAAAAGGTGTGACATGGCTTTGATCCTATGTAAGAAGCTTTACCCTGATTTCTTTGGTGGTATGTTACAGGCTCCGCCAGTTTTTCGGTGATGTAGCTACTTGAATGAGACAAACGAAGTATGACCGGAGGAATGACTTGTTGCAATTTTCTGTCAGAATACCTGGGTATATTTGTATCTCCCTTGCTGGAAAGCTATCTTACATCCTAAAATAAGACAGCGTGCCTGTGCTTACAGCCAGGTCCCTATTGATGTAGACAAGTGACAAAAACGTGCTTTTCTACTAGTGAATATTAAAGACACCGATATTGACCAGCTGTAGCACTTCTGTTCAATGTTCCTTCGAAAGGCGTCTTTCTGGACCCTTTTTCATGTCACCTTGATCGTTGCTCATCCACATGCCAAAGAAAATGGTATTTCGTTTCAGTTCGAAATTATATCTTGACCATGTTACAGTAGTGTAAAAAATATGTCCTATATTACGATCGTCTCTTTGTCTCATTGATTGTATGTTTTTTTCAGGAGAGAATGAACGTGATTATTGTGGACTGGGGAAGGGGTTCTGGGTTTCCCTACACACAGGCAGTCGCAAATACTCGTGTTGTCGGAGCGGAGGTAGCGGCCATGATCTCTTACCTGAATACCGCCGCAGGAACCACCAACTCACAGTACCATCTTATAGGGCACAGTCTCGGCGCCCACGTCTGTGGCTATGTAGGAGAGATCGTCAGAGGACTAGGACGAATTACAGGTAAGTAGCAGGGGACAGCAGACATTGTCAGGAGACTGGGACGGATCATAGATAGAGACATTGTCAGGAGACTGGGACGGATCATAGATAGAGACATTGTCAGGAAACAGGGACGGATCGTAGATAGATAGATTGTCAGGGGACTGGGACGGATCATAGATAGAGACATTGTCAGGAGACTGGGACGGATCGTAGATAGGGACATTGTCAGGGGACTGGGACGGATCGTAGATAGGGACATTGTCAGGGGACTGGGACGGATCGTAGATAGAGACATTGTCAGGAGACTGGGACGGATCGTAGATAGGGACATTGTCAGGGGACTGGGACGGATCATAGATAGAGACATTGTCAGGGGACTGGGACGGATCATAGATAGGGACATTGTCAGGAGACTGGGACGGATCGTAGATAGGGACATTGTCAGGGGACTGGGACGGATCATAGATAGAGATATTGTCAGGGGACTGGGACGGATCATAGAGACATTGTCAGGGGACTGGGACGGATCATAGATAGAGATATTGTCAGGGGACTGGGACGGATCATAGATAGAGATATTGTCAGGAGACTGGGACGGATCATAGATAGGGACATTGTCAGGGGACTGGGACGGATCGTGTAGGGACATTGTCAGGGGACTGGGACGGATCATAGAGACATTGTCAGGAGACTGGGACGGATCATAGATAGAGATATTGTCAGGGGACTGGGACGGATCATAGATAGAGATATTGTCAGGGGACTGGGACGGATCATAGATAGCGACATTGTCAGGGGACTGGGACGGATCGTAGATAGAGATATTGTCAGGGGACTGGGACGGATCATAGATAGAGACATTGTCAGGAGACTGGGACGGATCGTAGATAGAGATATTGTCAGGGGACTGGGACGGATCATAGATAGAGACATTGTCAGGAGACTGGGACGGATCGTAGATAGATACATTGTCAGGAGACTGGGACGGATCGTAGATAGGGACATTGTCAGGAAACAGGGACGGATCATAGATAGATACATTGTCAGGTGACTGGGACGGATCGTAGATAGGGACATTGTCAGGAAACAGGGACGGATCGTAGATAGAGACATTGTCAGGGGACTGGGACGGATCGTAGATAGGGACTTCGTCAGGAGACTGGGACGAGTCGTAGATAAGGACATTGTCAGGAAACTGGGACGGATCGTAGATAGGGACATTGTCATGGGACTGGGACGGATCGTAGATAGGGACATTGTCAGGAAACTGGGACGGATCGTAGATAAGGACATTGTCAGGAAACTGGGACGGATCGTAGATAGGGACATTGTCAGGAAACTGGGACGGATCGTAGGTAGACTATCTCAGGAGGCTTGGACTGTTCACAGGTACAGACATTGTCAGGGAACATGTGAATTTGGAGGCAAAGTATGGGTATAATGAATGGAAATGGAGTGAATATGTTGATGCAGGGGTCTTTTATGTGTTTTGACGCACTTAAATTTCATTATTCCTATACACGGACACTAAAAGTTTAAGAGACAATTCTATATATTAGTTTATATGTTAAGGTTTGGATCCCGCTGAACCGAACTTTGAAGACACACCAGTGGAAGTTCGTCTTGATTCTAACGATGCTAACTTTGTTGACGTTATTCACACCGACGGATCGGAATTCGATACCATTTCCGGTAAGTCATCATGTATTTTTGATTTTTTTTAATAAATAAGCGAAAAGTTACGTGACCAATATATATATCACGGAATCGGAATAGATATAAAAATATTTATATTTGTAATTTGTGTTGAAAAAGAACTAGTGCAGCTAATGGTTAAATTTATACGGACGAAAATGCTTAATTTTCGGCGATGTTCACACAAATCCTCATTGTTCCAAGGTTACGGTATGAAGATGCCATGTGGTGATATGGACTTCTATCCCAATGGAGGACGTAATCAGCCTGGTTGTACACACGAGACATGGACCAACGTCGTATCTCACCTAGAGTTAGGACCACAAGGTAGGACCAAAGTCGTATCACGCATAGAGTTAGGTCCACAAGGTAGGACCAATGTCGTATCTCGCCTAGAGTTAGGTCCACAAGGTAGGACCAATGTCGTATACGACCTAGAGTTAGGACCACAAGGTAGGTCCACAAGGAAGGACCAATGTCGTAAAGGACCTAGAGTTAGGACCACAAGGTAGGACCAAAGTCGTATCACAGCTAGAGTTAGGACCACAAGGTTGGACCAAAGTCGTCTCACACCTAGAGTTAGGTCTACAAGGTAGGTCTACAAGGTAGGACCAATGTCGTATACCACCTAGATTTAGGTCCACAAGGTAGGACCAATGTCGTATCACACCTATAGTTAGGTCCACAAGGCAGAACCAAAGTCATATCACACCTAGAGTTAGGTCCACAAGGTAGGTCCACAAGGTAGGACCAATGTCGTATACCACCTAGATGTAGGTCCACAAGGTAGGACCAATGTCGTATCACAGCTAGAGTTAGGACCACAAGGCAGGACAAAAGTCATATCACACCTAGAGTTAGGTCCACAAGGTAGGAGCACAAGGTAGGACTGCAAGGTAGGACTAAAGTCGTATCACAGCTAGACTTAGGACCACAAGGTAATACCAATGTCGTATTACAGCTAGAGTTAGGTCCACAAGATAGGACCACAAGGTAGGACCACAAGGTAGGATCAATGTCGTATCACACCTATAGTTAGGTCTACAAGGTAGGACCAATGTCGTACCACGCATAGAGTTAGGTCCACAAGGTAGGACCACAAGGTAGGATCAATGTCGTATCACACCTATAGTTAGGTCTACAAGGTAGGACCAATGTCGTATACCACCTAGAGTTAGGTCCACAAGGTAGGACCAACGTCGTACCACACCTACCGTTGGGTCCACAAGGCAGTACTAATGTATACCACCTAGAGTTAAGCCCGTTGGGCAGGGCTAATGTCCTATCAGACCTATAGCTAGGCTAAGCGTATCATTGAGCTTAACTATAACCTAGAATAATATTTTACACTTATAAAACTTCAGATCATATCTCAGAATTTATCCTTCCTGTAACCTTCGATAACACGACCATAGATTCTGACAGTCACATACCAGGACTTACATTGGATTTTTAAATCAGTTTACAAATCATAACACCTGTATTTTATCAGTTAAAATCTTGATTTTTGTGTCATGCTCCTTTTGTAGCTGTTGGCGGCATGCTGGCCTGCAGTCACGACCGGTCAATCTACCTATTTACTGAGTCCATTAACGGTAGGTCCTGCACCCTGAAGGGCCATCCTTGTCAGAGCTACGAGGATTTTGTGGTAGGACGCTGCTTCTCCTGTGGAAACCAACCATGTCCCAGCATGGGCTACCACGCCGATAGTTTCAGAGCGAGGGGAAAATTCTACCTGGCCACTACAGACAGTCCACCATATTGTGGTGAGTGTGACAACAACAATTAACAAGATAAAATGGCCGTTTTCCCATACTAGTTGTAATCATAATAATCAAAGTAGCGATGTATGATCGTTTTGTATTTTTCGGTCGCTGTTTGATTGATACTAACGCTAAACTCAACTTACTTAAGCACGGCAAACGTTGACCAGCATGAACTCAACTTATTTAAGAACGGTAAACGTTGACTAGCACAAACTCAACTTATCTAAGAACGGCAAACGTTGACCAGCATGAACTCAAGTTACTTAAACACGGTAAACGTTGACTAGCACAAACTCAACATATCTAAGAACGACAAACGTTGACTAGCACACACTCAACTTATTTAAGAACGGTAAACGTTGACTAGCACAAACTCAACTTATTTAAGAACGGCAAACGTTGACTAGCATGAACTCCGGTTAATTAAGAACAGCAAACGTTGACTAGCATGAACTCAAGTTACGTAAGAACGGTTAACGTTGACCAGCATAAACTCAAGTTACACAGGAACGGTAAACGTTGACTAGCATGAACTCAATTTACTTAAGAACGGTTAACGTTGACTAGCATAAACTCAAGTTACACAGGAACGGTAAACGTTGACCAGCATAAACTCAAGTTACACAGGAACGGTAAACGTTGACTAGCATGAACTCAAGTTACACAGGAACGGTAAACGTTGACTAGCATGAACTCAATTTACTTAAGAACGGTTAACGTTGACTAGCATAAACTCAAGTTACACAGGAACGGTAAACGTTGACTAGCATGAACTCAAGTTGCACAGGAACGGTAAACGTTGACTAGCATGAACTCAAGTTACACAGGAACAGTAAACGTTGACTAGCATGAACTCAAGTTGCACAGGAACGGTAAACGTTGACTAGCATGAACTCAAGTTACACAGGAACAGTAAACGTTGACTAGCATGAACTCAATTTACTTAAGAACGGTAAACGTTGACTAGCATAAACTCAAGTTACACAGGAACGGTAAACGTTGACTAGCATGAACTCAATTTACTTAAGAACGGTTAACGTTGACTAGCATAAACTCAAGTTACACAGGAACGGTAAACGTTGACTAGCATGAACTCAAGCTACGTAAGAACGGTTAACGTTGACTAGCATAAATTCAAGTTACGTAAGAACGGTTAACGTTGACTAACATAAACTCAAGTCACACAGGAACGGTTAACGTTGACTAGCATAAACTCAAGTTACACAGGAACAGTAAATGTTGACTAGCATGAGCTCAAGTTACGCAGGAACGGTAAACGTTGATTAGCAGAAGTGATGCTTAAATGCGATTTAAGACGTTTTACCTTTGTACTGTTTCCAGGCAACTTTTACCAAGTGACCGTCCAGTTTGGACCGACCATGGCAACTGATCACGGAGAGTTACATCTCCGGATACTTGGAACATCGGGACTCTCGGAAATATTCGCCATCAAAAGGTAAGAATTTGTATAAACTATTGTAAACGAAGTAAGGTAATTACTACAAAGGTATGTTATTCCTGTTAAATAGGTGTTTTTAAGTAATCAGTTAACTTTTGAGTACAAATGTAGCCAATTACGGTGTTATTGTGATAACAAAGGAACAGTTTTTGTGAAGTTTTGGTTTCGGCTGATGTTGTCCGTCGTGTCCTTGGTCCCTACAGCTTGGGTACAACACTTTACCCTCTTGTCTCAATTCCGTGGTTCTTTAAAAGCGACTAACTATGAAATGATATAGGTTTTTCTTCTTTCTTGCACTTTTCTCTCTCTTATACGTCCTTTATCAGTCAATATATCGCTGTTGCGCCAATGGTTAGATTCCACTCAAAACACGAATGTTTTGTGTGCTGTATCTGATAGAGAAACGCCCAAGCCCATTAAAGTATACACACTGCTCGCTGCTTGGGTGAATTTTATACTGTTTAACGTCCTATCAACAGCTTTGATCATTTAGGATGACCTCCTTGTGCATACGAGGTGAGTGCCTTTTTAAGTGCGTGTGCTTGTGGCAGGCTGCGAAATATTCTTGTAAGCCTGTTTCTGATAGCGCTTTGAGTTCAGCTTTCAACCATGTACAGGCTTTTCAGTGTGACAGCACTATGATCATGCCCTTGAGTGGTCATAATGTCAATGAAAACTTTTTTTCATATGACTAAGTTGTTGCATGGCATGCATACTAAACCTCAGAGACAAACAGACAAATTATATTGTAGAGTTCTTGAGGGTTTGATCGAAATGGTAAATAAATTCGTGTAATCTAAAACGTCACGTCAGTCATATATCGACCAGTAAATTGAAGAACTTGACAAGATCTTGGATATAGATGTCAGCAAAGACGAGAACACGATAAGTATGTTGCCATGATACTCATGGTTCATACATTTTGTAACCTATGATCGTGCGCATCTTTATATATCTTTTCAAGAAATGTTAACCTGTGTCATTGTATCCTTGATATGAAACGTTATATCATAATAAAAGTCGTATCCCTCTGATAGTTTCAACCCCCAGACCGGACGTGACGACGGTTTCCAACAGAACCAGGAACGGAAGGTTATGCTTGTGTCCAGAAGCTACCTAGGCGACATACTGAATGTACAGGCCCAGTTCCAGGAGTCCAGATCCCTGCTATCGTATTTCTGGACCGGGGAGATATCTCTCTCCAGAATCATGGTGACCGACGGCAAAACGGAAGCCAGGTACGATACCATATTACCAAACATTGCCATATAATGGCTGGTATCCATCTTACAAGCATCGTATTTAGACGCGCGAGCAAGAGTGTTATTACCTATTTACAACTGTAGATACACAATAGTCTTCGTTGTGTTATTTTCGTTTCGCTTTGGTTTGCATTCTAAAGATTGATTGACCCGTTCTAGAATTTCGTTTCGTATTGTAGCCCGCCTCGTTTTCAACTACGCCGTGATCCATTTCATGTTGTCCGTAATCTAGGTCTAGTACCTATAAGTGATGTACTTTTAATAACGGGAAGTGGTTACATTAAAGTCATCAATTTATTCTTTAACTATTGGTTAGAAGGACCAGTTGTTCTCTCCAGAAAATGAAATGCTCCCTACATCCGGACATTAACGTAAACAATTGTTTCCTTACAGATACCTATTCTGTGTAGGCGAGGCTGTACTACGCGCAGGACAAGCAATGGTCGGCTTCAACCATGCAGTTCATACTGTGGCGGAATGTACCACAAGGCAGTAGCTACGATAGGTGCCGATCAAATGGGATGTATAAACATCCGGCTAGGCGACATAAACTGTAAATCTGATCGGCATTATTTATGTCCATGTCCTTGATTTTAGAATATAAATAGTATCTGTGTTTATATATGTAATACAAGAATTCGTTGTTCCAGAAATCTACTGGTCAAGCATATCATGCCACTAAATCGAAGCTCCTTGAATATGACATTACTATACTCTGTAAGCCAGAATTTGAAATGGGTGGATGTGAGTTATTTACACCGGCCAACACTATGTCCCTAAATATAGTGTTTTGTGGTTAGCAAGACAGAGTTAGTGTCATACAAATGGACAACGTTGTACAATTTAATCAGAAGTTATCTCCCTTATAATGTACATTTTGAGAATCATACTGATCCATGATGTAATAAAAGGACGGCGTTTAATTTGAATACTTTTATCTCCGTAATGTTCGTTATCATTTCATCAATAATGATCTCTTTGGCAAGTTAGTCTAATTGATTATCATTTTAAAACAAGAACACGTGTAAGGGAATTGATAGAGTGCAGCTTCGTATACCGATTCAAGCACATGGTTTATTCGTTTACGTTACAATACACTGATATACAAAACTGATAATTCCGAATATATTAGAAAATAACACAAATGTGTGCGTAACAATACCCTTCTGTGTGTCTATCCTTTATAGCGAACGTTTTACTGAATGCAGTATCTTGTCATATTTGGATTATACCCAACAACCGACGTTAGACATTTTGACTGAGTCCTGTCTGAACGAGAGGAAACTCGTGCTAGTAATCCGCCACTTCAAAGATTTCGTAAATACTGGCCGACATGATGTTTCACTACATTTTTATGTTATTATTCGTCGTCTGTCTATATAATTTCTAGTGTAAAATACAGATATATACAGAGAGGCTACGATCGCCAAAATGATACCACTACAGCAGTTGTTTCATTTATCCTATAAATACACTTTGAAGCTGCACATGGGAAATTGAGAATCGACAGATAAGTTATCATTACTCAACCTATATGGTATCACTTTGATGTATGTTCACTGTACAGTCGTTGTTACAAACAACAGTTGGTAGACCCGTTACTTGACAAACAAACTGTTATATAGCACACTACGTTATGACGGGGAGAGAGAGGAAGTACGTTATGACGCGAGAGAGAGGAAGTACGTTATGACGGAGAGAGAGGGGTAGTACGTTATGACGGAGAGAGGGGTTGTACGTTATGACGGGAGAGAGAGGAAGTACGTTATGACGGAGAGAAAGGGGTAGTACGTTATGACGGAGAGAGAGAGAGAGGAAGTACGTTATGACGGGAGAGAGAGGAAGTACGTTATGACGGAGAGAGAGGGGTAGTACGTTATGACGGAGAGAGGGGTAGTACGTTATGACGGGAGAGAGAGGAAGTACTTTATGACTGAGAGAGAGGGGTAGTACGTTATGACGGAGAGAGAGAGAGGAAGTACGTTATGACGGAGAGAGAGAGGTAATACGTTATGACGAAGAGAGAGGAAGTGCGTTATGACGGAGAGAGAGGGGTAGTACGTTATGACGGAGAGAGAGGTAGTGCGTAATGACGGAGAGAGGTAGTACGTTATGACGGAGAGAGAGAGGGTAGAGAGTGCGAGAGGATAGAAAGGTAGTACGTTATGACGGTTAGAGACGGAGAGAGAGGTCGTACGTTACGTTATTATGACGGAGAGAGAGAGGGTATTGCGTTATGACGGTTATGACGGAGGAGAGAGAGAGGGTAGTGCGTTATGATGGATAGAGAGGTCGTACGTTATGACGGAGAGAGAGAGAGGTAGTACGTTATGACGGAGAGAGAGAGGTAGTACGTTATGACGGAGAGAGAGGTAGTATGTTATGACGGAGAGAGAGAGGTAGTAGGTTATGATGGAGAGAGAGAGAGGTAGTAGGTTATGACGGAGAGAGAAATAGTACGTTACGTCGGAGAGAGGTAATGCATCACGAATATTTTAATTACTGGGCCAAATCACATTTCATCTAGCACATTTGTTTTACATTGACCCCGCTTTTGTTGCTGTTACAAAACATTAACCAAGAAAAGAATTTAAACGGGGTTTATCTCAACAAGAAAACTCCAAATTACTTTAGGGATTGATGGAGTTTGTTTAGCTGTTATTCGTCGTGAGAAGTTGTTTTTATTTTTTTTCACACACATGTGTATCCTAAGCCCGATATCTGTAAAGAAAGAAAAAGTGAAAATATGTACATAAATGAGCCTGACTGTCACCACTGTCTATTTAAAAAAATTCGAAGAAAACTGAGCCTGTCATCTCGTAAACGCGACACAAACCTATATCACTTCTGCATAACATACCACATTGTAATGATAATTGGCAAGCTACAGAGCAGGTCGAAGTAAACGTCTCTTATCCATGGAAGAGGTTATTTTGATCGTCTCCCTACAAATGAGGGAGACATTGGCATAAAGGAATCCGCAGGGGCGTGTAACAATGTTTCTGTTGTAGAGAGCTTGTGTTGTATACCATAAATAACTTACGGGAAACCACGAAATAGCCAAGACAGATTCCCCGACCACGGTACACTGAATACCGCCGACTTTGCCGAGACTGTAGTATGTTTAGAACGATAATAAAACGAAGCTGATAATGTTTTATATGGAATGTAAGGGATATTGTCCCCCTCTCTACTACACAAGCTTCTTCCACCAGAAGCTTTATTACCTTCGAACTGTTAGATTAGATGACGATGAGACTATCAACAAAATCAGACGTAACTTCTGCCTCCATTAATAGGTTTCATAGCTTTATATTTGTTTTTCTTCATTTCTTTGTCCAAATTGTTTATTATTGATTGTTTACACTACGCAATACACACCTTGGCTTCATACTCTTAACTTGCCGGGCTCATATATTTACCATACTCTCGCTAGTCACATGTCGACGGCAGCTAGAACTTTGACAAATGACATCGTGACTTGAGGGCGGGGAATAACCAGAACACAAAGATTTATCAGTGACTTGAGGGCGGGGGATAACCAGAACACAAAGATTTATCAGTGACTTGAGGGCGGGGGTGGGGGATAACCGGAATTTTAAGATTACCAGTAAAATGGCATACGGCCTCTTATCTACACACCTGTAAACTGATGTCCTGGACAGGTCACAGGTATGATCTAAGAACTTCCTCGTATAAAAAAAGTTCACTTCAACGATTGTGGGGCGAGTACATTACCAGTAAAATGGCATACGGCCTCTTATCTACACACCTGTAAACTAATGTCCTGGACAGGTCACAGGTATGATCTAAGAACTTCCTCGTATAAAAAATATTCACTTCAACGATTGTGGGGCGAGTACATAAAAGTTTAGGTGTATTCAGCTGTTATTTATACACCCCTGGCGATCATTCTGTTAGGTAATAACGTACCTACATTGTCCATATGGACTCGCCTAAAATCAATATTGTAACGGAAAGTGAACGAAAGGTCATTTTGAGTGGGCCGTTATCTGTAGGTTCAGGCTATTAAGACGGCTTCCATAATGTTGACGATTTTGAGAATTTTAGCTGTTTTCGTCTTGTTTGCGACTACGACAGGTAGGTATGATTAAGAACTATTATCTACAATATTTTTGATACTTTTTATATCCAGTTTTAATTAATCTTAATTTAATCATTGTTGGATGACTTTGATCTGGGCAGATTGAATTTTACATACTGATGTTCGATTTGATATCACATGATGTTGAAGTGTATCAAACGCACCTGCATGGACTGCGCAACGTTAAAAAAAACAAGCAAAACGAAACGATATATTTTCAATAAGAAACAACTATTAAGATGAAATTTCCGGTTACAATTAGCACCTTTTCAATCCATTGGAAGACAATTAGTATCCCATTTAATATATTTATTACAACAAACTTGGAATACATTTCAGGGAGGTATCGTCCATCGTACCAACAGCAGTAGATATCTGTGTGTGTGTGTGTGTGTGTGTGTGTGTGTGTGTGTGTGTGTGTGTGTGTGTGTGTGTGTGTGTGTGTGTGTGTGTGTGTGTGTGTGTGTGTGTGTGTGTGTGTGTGTGTGTGTGTGTGTGTGTGTGTGTGTGTGTGTGTGTGTGTGTGTGTGTGTGTGTGTGTGTGTGTGTGTGTGTGTGTGTGTGTGTGTGTGTGTGTGTGTGTGTGTGTGTGTGTGTGTGTGTGTGTGTGTGTGTGTGTGTGTGTGTGTGTGTGTGTGTGTGTGTGTGTGTGTGTGTGTGTGTGTGTGTGTGTGTGTGTGTGTGTGTGTGTGTGTGTGTGTGTGTGTGTGTGTGTGTGTGTGTGTGTGTGTGTGTGTGTGTGGTGTGTGTGTGTGTGTGTGTGTGTGTGTGTGTGTGTGTGTGTGTGTGTGTGTGTGTGTGTGTGTGTGTGTGTGTGTGTGTGTGTGTGTGTGTGTGTGTGTGTGTGTGTGTGTGTGTGTGTGTGTGTGTGTGTGTAGGCCAAACCTAGACTAGTGTTAGCTTACGTTTCAGAGAATAGGAATGTTGTATGATTTATTTGTGTTCTTCGGTTCAATTGCCTACAGCAGAAACTTCGTACTTCACGAGTTGTTCCCCCTGGCTACATATTGATGTCATTTTAAAGCACTCAGTATTATGTAAACTTATGTACCGAAGAGAAGGCAGTCGAGTGTAATCAAACAGAAGACAGTCGGGTGTAATCAAACAGAAGACAGTCGGATGTAATCAAACAGAGGACAGTCGGGTGTAATCAAACAGAAGACAGTCGGGTGTAATCAAACAGAAGACAGTCGAGTGTAATCAAACAGAGGACAGTCGGATGTAATCAAACAGAAGAGAGTCGGGTGTAATCATTCAGAAGACAGTCGGGTGTAATCAAACAGAAGACATTCGGGTGTAAGCAAACATAAGACAGTCGGGTGTAAGCAAACAGAAGACAGTCGGGTGTAAGCAAACAGAAGACAGTCTGGTGTAATCAAACAGAAGACAGTCGAATGTTATCAAACAGAAGACAGTCGGGTGTAATCAAACAGAAGACAGTCGGTTGTAATCAAACAGAGGACAGTCGGGTGTAATCAAACAGAAGACAGCCGAGTGTAATCAAACAGAAGACAGTCGAGTGTAATCAAACAGAAGACAGTCGGATGTAATCAAACAGAAGACAGTCGGGTGTAATCAAACAGAAGACAGTCGGGTGTAATCAAACAGAAGACAGTCGGGTGTAATCAAACAGAAGAGAGTCGGGTGTAATCAAACAGAAGACAGTCGGGTGTAATCAAACAGAAGAGAGTCGGGTGTAATCAAACAGAAGACAGCCGAGTGTAATCAAACAGAAGACAGTCGAGTGTAGTCAAACAGAAGAGAGTCGGGTGTAATCAAACAGAAGAGAGTCGGGTGTAATCATTCAGAAGAGAGTCGAGTGTAATCAAACAGAAGACAGTCGAGTGTAGTCAAACAGAAGAGAGTCGGGTGTAATCAAACAGAAGAGAGTCGGGTGTAATCATTCAGAAGACAGTCGAGTGTAATCAAACAGAAGACAGTCGGGTGTAATCAAACAGAAGACAACCAAGTGTTAACGATATAGCTTTCACTAACAGACTGTACTTCCTCTTGTTAATTTGAAAACATTGCATTTACGTAGGCCTTTTAAACAATCTCATCTGATACATTTTTTCTCTATTTCATTTTTTTATTTATTGAAATGATGTTTCTAGGCGCACAACCCTACGCCTGCCAATGTTTAAAAGGACACATGTTGCTTGATATATTGTTGATAACAGGTTGGAAACATTGATTCTATCGCATTCCTCAACATAGAGGACAAAATTCCACAAAAATCAGAAAGTTGAAGACAAGAAAATAAAAAACAGCATATCAATATCCGATGACAAAATAAGAAATGGGTTATTTTATATATAAAGACACTGAAGTTACATGAGGTGCAATGTGATAATCTACGTCTGTCACTATTGTAGTTAAGTGGGTTAGGAATAACATATTATATTGCAAATTTAGTTCTCGTTTATAAAAAGAGCGATACTAATATCCAATTTAATATCTCAATTCGACTGAACGTGTTCTTAATTTAAATGGAAAGATATTCTGATTTGTAATTCGTTACCACAAGTAAAGGCCTATACACCGAACAAAGATATTTCTTCCGGCAAACGTGACAGCTGTAGGCAAGATTACATTTGAAATAAGAAGGTATGATTATAAATGAAAACGACACGCATGCAGTGCATTTACTTCATGTAACATAAAGTGACATGAACAAGAATTTGTGTAGCATGAAGTTTAGCAAATTACAGCACAATTCAGAACCTCGTGTATTTAAAATGTCTGACATCATTTACAATGACATATTTTGTTATGGGCTCGGTAACGCCTGCCAGGATAAATTCTCAGTACCTTAAATCGTTCTCAGTTCCATAATACCTTCATTTCCCAGGTGTAAACAGTAGATATCGAAAAGAAGGAACCTAAACGGTTAATGTGTAATGTGATTCATTATATATGATGAGAAATTACTGATCATTGTTGAACCAAAGTGTCGTATTGCGAATAATGAAAACATATGTGGTAAGATAGTATCATACGAGAAACTGCGAATTTTTTAACCGATGTAATAACAGTTTTGATGACAAACGATCCTTGAGAAACATTGCTGCCGAGGGAGAGCGTCCCTTGACAAAGCACGTTTTATACTTCATGTCCCACCTGGTTTGTTCGTGTCAACAAGTAATATATAGTCTTCTGGATATAGCACATCTTGTCACGTCGCCTGTGATGTTTGTTACGATTTTGGTAGTTTGCAAATGTTCGCGGTTGTTATTGTATTGCACGTACCACAATATGGAGTAATCATGGCGTTACCAAGACTTACAATTGTGATGCCATAACTATACTGTGATATTCTTAGTTCCCACTGTCACACCGTTGCTATGGTTTCACGAAGACCTTTTGAATTGAAAGTATTTCGTCTGATTTCAGTTTTTACAAATGAAGGGCGACAGAACATGACTGAAATAATTGAATCTGAGTGATATATAATTGATAGAGATTGAATGTTTCTGATACATCTGTCATTACTGTGGCATTAAAATATGTAAATAAGAATATATCGAAAGAAGGAAACCTGCCAATATTCTTTTGTTGTATAATAGTTGTTTGAGTCGGTTTGTGACCATGGTCAGGCACGTTTAGCCAGACACACGTTTTATCACTATCGGTACTTGTTACCCCAATACACACGGTAAAATCACAAATACATAAAGCCTAGTCACTGCGGCACGAATCCATCTGGAATCGAGGTCATGTGGTGGTTAGATAAGCCCTGGAATACATGCAGTTGTAATGAAGGAAACCAACACGGATACGAATAAGTGACCTCTATTTTTTACTTTATTGACATCAATATACGACATATATCCAGAAAGAATAAAACTAATTAAAAACATACGCTAGATTCTTATTGCATGGCAATTAGTACAGCTGCTTAATGCCGCTTTGGTAAGGTACAAGCCGCTTCCTATCAGGTAGGCTGCTTAATGCCGCTTTGGTAAGGTACAAGCCGCTTCCTATCAGGTAGGCTGCTTAATGCCGCTTTGGTAAGGTACAAGCCGCTTCCTATCAGGTAGTCTAATTCAGTGCAATTGGAAGAGCGTTAGACCAGGACCCCGGATTCATACCGATGGCATTGCTGACACGTGCTATAGCAAGTACAACATTAACATGAACACGATGACAGCGTTTTGAAATAAGACCAATGAACACCAAAATCTCTTGTGGTTGCTAAGGACCACTCTTGAACTCCCGTATCAGTTATCAATACATAAACTACCGCTTGATTTCCGTTGTAGGTTTTCTATTTACAAGACAGGTATGTTACCAACACATCGGCTGTTTTAGCAATGCAAGTCCTTTCAACAATGCCAAGGGATATTTACCAGAAACTGCGGAGCATATTCAATCTAACTTCCGGCTTTTTACCAGGCAAAATCCCACGCATGCGCAATCACTAGATCCGTACGACAGTTCAACTGTAACAGGAAGTCACTTTAACGCAGGAAAGAATACCAAACTCATTATTCATGGTTTTCAAGACAGTGGAGATGCACCGTGGATGCATGACATGACCAGGGCCTTGTTAGATGCGGTTAGTATGTATCTTCTCTCGGTGGTGTTCGAACAACTGGCACCTGGACATTTGAATGTACAGGTCAAAAGTAGCCTCCGATCCCTACACGTGCAAACGTATCGTTACCTTAACAAAGCAGATCATAACTGCTAATAGCAGATTTAGATTATTTCAATATATTTATATAACTTCTTTTATTCTGCCATGGATTGGTATACCATTTTTTGTTTATCTCCATAAACATTTCATGAGGTTTTGTCGGCTCTGACGTTAAGTTTCTTGCTTATATAGCCCCAAACATTCTCAATGGAGATGAGGGTTGCATGTTTCCTAACCTAGCCAAGATGTGTACACCATTTCCTTCCAGAAAAGAACAAATGGATCTAGGATTTTATTGTTTATTAATATTAATATCAAAATGAATAACGAAAAAAACCCTTTTTCATGACAACATCACACTAGAATTAAAAACATAAATTTTGAATATACTTCAATAGAAAAATTTGACTTAAGTTGGCGAAGTAAACTGTAACGCTGTATTTCACCGTCATTCATGCGTTAGGTCAAAAAAATGCGTCTCAAATTGTTCACGTGAAATACAATCAATGCTTCACACTTTACACACTGTAAATGTTTTAATGAGAGTGGGTGTTTGTTTTTGTCGGATTTTGCATTTTTGTTGAAGCACGAATTTTGATATTTATAAAATAAGAATCTGTTTATGATTATTGATTAAAGACAATATATCATCACCATTACATTTCATTTTTCCCATCAGAATAAAAAATGTACTGTAATTGATATGAGACTTCAATACCTATTAAAAGATTTATCTGAGAGAAAATATTTAAAATTACCGTAGAAATATTTTTTTTATTTAAAAAGTAAGGAGGTGGTGCTTATCTAGGGGTGACTTAATTGCGCCGTTGACCTGTAAACTGAAACAAAATCTTTAAAAGCGTGGTAAAGCGACTAGCCACATGAAATATCGGGAACAAATCATGAAGCTACTTTCAATTGGTGAACATTACAATCTCTGTTTATAGTTACAATCATAGTCCCATTCAACGCTTTTCTGAAAGTTCAATTTAAATTTTGAAAACAACGCATCATTGTTCTTCTTATACAAATATTTCCTTCTCAGTTATTCCTTATTCATTGTTATCAGTATTTTGTGTTGTAGATAAGCCTCAGATACAACATCTTAATCAAAATCACTTCACATTTCTAGTAACACGGCTTAGCAAGTAATAATTGATGATTTTGATTAAATCATGTTTTAATGTGGGTTATGAGGACACTACAGGGGTCAGTCGATTACCGGTTTTTTGTTTGCCAATCGTTTGACCAGCAAAGACGGAATACATTGAACTATCTTCATTATGCATTATGAACTTCCTCTTTCATAATACCATTACTTCACTAGATATTGTTAAATTCCAGTTTATTCGACATTCATCTGCTTCGGAGAACATATATATGTCAAAAACTGATAGTCATACGATAGCGATAGAGCGGCGTAAGTTGACTTAGACAAGATACAGGACAATGATTAATATTAAACTTAGCGTGACATAATGCCGTATTTGCAGTATACATGCACCATAGATTTCTGCTCTCCCTTTTTATATACGTTTTCACAACTTTGTATGATTTACAGGAGAGCGTGAACGTTATTGTAGTGGACTGGTCGAAAGGTGCGGACAATGTTAACTACATTCAGGCTGCCGCCAATACTAGAGTGGTTGGTGCCACGATAGCTAAACTTCTCCAGAAGCTGCACAGTACCACCGGGCTTCCGTACAATAAAATTCACATTATTGGTCACAGTCTGGGATCACATATAGCTGGGTATGCTGGGAGGCGTGTTCATGGTGTAGGAAGAATCACAGGTAAGAACAAATAATGATTGTTCTACGAAGATAAAGCTGGAACTGTAGATGGAAAATTTGTTTTCTAGAAGCATTCACCTGGTTCATGTTAATTTGAAAAGAAAAACAATCCAATACTGAACTTTTTTATTGAGACCGATTGCGTGTCCAGTGAGTCAAACTAATTGGCTGATAGGAGAGCAGTGCCAGCTTTGTCAATGAGGGATTGTCCAGTAACGTGAAGTGGATGTTTACTGTTTTAAATATTAGTAGGATGATTACTTAGAAATTAATGTGACTTGGTTCGTGGATGTTGGCATCTAAATAATAGGAAATTAGAGAGAGAGAGAGAGAGAGAGAGAGAGAGAGAGAGAGAGAGAGAGAGAGAGAGAGAGAGAGAGTGGGAGAGGGGGGGAGAGAGGGGGGGGGGGTGTACGGTAGTTGAGATAACTAGAATATGAAAAGTTGATTGAGTTCTGAGAAGGGAGTTGTGGTATGGACACCGGAGAGAAAAGATGTGATCACAACCTGAGAGTCATGGATGGGAGATGGATGTTTTGTACATATTAGTTGTAAATAACTGTGTATATTTTGGAGATGTAAATAAACTGTAAATAGAAAAGGGATCTGATGTTATCATTATATAACCAGTTTCGTTTTACTTTATGATAATTTTAAGTACTGATACATTATTTGCAGGTCTGGATCCTGCTGGACCGCTTTTCGAGAACTTCGATGCCCAGGTTAGACTGGATCCAACAGACGCTTTGTTTGTGGATGTCATACATTCTGACTCCGACTCCTTATTGGAACTAGGTAAAGCAGTATAAAGAGTATAAATGACACGAAGCATATACATTAATTATCATTAAACTTCCCGTATCCGTGTCGTGTAGTATGGAGTGTAGAACACACATTAAGTGACAGATTATTTTGTGATCGTGATGATCGCAGAAAACACATCAAAATCCTGTAGAAAATTTTGTTTTGATGTGCATTATTCAGACATTGCTGCAAATATCAGTACAACTAGACTAATTGATCCATATCTTTCAATTCTATTTGAATTTTTACAAGCAGAATATTATTGGGCACTCTGCCTGAAGGAAATTCGCAAATAAGCATCACGAGAAAAGACTGGTAATATTAAATGGTGAACCGTTTGTTCTAGACGTATTGTTATCTTGCACATCCTTTCATGATTACTTCCGTTAGGATTTGGATTGGAAAAAGCACTAGGACATGCCGATTTCTATCCAAATGGCGGCGAGAAACAACCCGGCTGTTCGAAGGAAGCTGCACATCATGTGTTTAACTTGATCACCCTGCAGATAGAAGGTATGTTTTTCATATTGTAATATATTGGGAGTTGTTGATTTCCTTGTTTGTAAATATAAAGATACAGAAAGAGATAGATTTTAGTACCTTCGATAATTTTAGCAATTAATTGTATCGGGACTTATTTTAGAAAACTGCAATAAGGATGGAAATGGGGAAATGGAAATTGAATTCTTCTACAGGCAAAATAAGTAATTGTCATGCCAATTACATTGTCGTAAAACATTCTGAGACATTACTGTAATATACACAGGTTAAAGATTTGCTACCGCTAATTAAAATATATCCTTTGATGTAACAAAATAAAATAATGTATACACATAATGTATTCCTTGTCAGAATTCACCGGAACCATCGCCTGCAGTCATATGAGGGCAATAGACCTCTTTACAGCGTCCATTCCAACATCCGGCTGCTCTTTCACAGCATACCCATGCAGCAACAAAGCCGACTTTAACGCTCAACGATGTCATTCCTGCGGCAATGGATGTTCCGAAATGGGTTACCATGCCAACGAGCATACGGCTCATGGAAAGTTCTATTTGTCAACAACAGGACACCAACCGTTTTGTCAATAAAGTTTGCTTTTTATTTCGGAAAACCACATTAATCAATAGAAGATGCTGAGGTAATGTGTTGAGGTTTCCGAGTGTCTACTGGCCTTAATTGATCAGATTAATCGGAAAATTACTGTAAATAGTCTAGCTAGTTTTGTATGCCTCTAGCCCATGATATAAAGTTATGTACCGCTTTGTCGAACTCTTCATCTCTAATTGTACTCTACCATTTTCATCTACATCATTTTATAAAGCAGATAGATATTGAAATATTGTTGTTTTCAACTGGTAAAAAATCAGTGACGTCCCAAAAATATCTCTCCTGGCGGTAGGAAGGTATTTTAATCATGGAGCATATCATTATCTAGATTCAATACCCAAGGCCTATATATTCATTTGTGACGTCTAGTCATAAACCCAAGCTTGGCAAGGACGTTGACAGGTGTTTTAGACCTCGGAGACCACAGGACATGTATCGCAGATATCATATAGATCTGTGACACTTAAAGGCGCGACCACACTTGTGACACAAACACAAGACAAGATATGTGGGTCAAAATACATTCCATTCTAATGTCTACTCCAAGGACTAATTTTTAGAGCGATGAAATTTTTTCTGTTTTCCATATTCCTGCAAGTTTATTTTATTAAAACCTCAAATTAATAACTTATCACTAGTAAGCCATATTCCAAGGAGTCTTTCTTTTATTGGTACGAAGGCACTTAAACAACAATGTTCCAACTGGATCCAAAAGATCTGAATAATTGGCGATTGTCCAATTGATTGAGCAATTACAACTTGTATGTGTTGTATGTCGGAAATAACTGTGGTGAATAGTAATTCTTGCAGATGAACCTACTATAAATCATGTCAGGTCTGTAGTCTTATTTGCGTATGAGAAAACTGATTATGTCAGTTGATTTCTAAATCGGATTATTGCAAAACATGCACGAAGTGATCGATACATATCTATCGGAATTCTTATAGTGCAAATTGAACGCGTAATGCCCATAGGTAGCTCTATAAGATACTTTACAAAAGACACACAAGTGATTAGAGTTTTTCAATACTAAATTAAATGAAGAGTCATTTTAAATGGATAATGGAATAAACTGCATCATACACACGTTTTGTCCTTGTAGTACTCGTTAATGATGCAGTTTTTAATGGGAACAGTGATGTTGGGGAAGTGTGTGTCGCTGATATCTGAGAGTTCATTATAGGGTAAACAGTGTAATGAGTAGATTAACTATCGTGGAGAAAATGTAGCAAAAAGGTATCAACAGAGACATTCTAGTAAACAGACACAATCTCAAAACATTTTCCGTAGCAAATAAATACTTTTATTAACAACACGGGCACGGTAGCACCTGTGGTTTAACAACATTTTGAATCGGTCAAACCGAACCAGCATATCAATTTACAGTGATGTATAACAAATTTGCATTGTAGTTGCTTGAATACATAAACCACTCTGTCATACTACACACCCGTAAAGTGGCTGGCATAATAACAATGTTAGAAGTAAACTAAAACAACTTATCAATTACCAAATAATACAATGTACATGATCTGTTCAGATTGTCAACATAAGAAAAGATTTACGTAGGAACACAACATGTTCACACATTGTCCAAGTGCATGTATCTCCGGGTCCCGATACAAGACATACATATATGGTCAATGTCGGCGATCGAATGTTCCAGCGTCGAAGACAGAGTGAAATATCACGTTTGGTAAATAATGCATATCATATTCAAATTTCATATGAAAAATTAAATTAAATTAAATCTATCGTACATGTTGGGGTATCATATGACATGCACATCTGAAAAGTTCTGTGTACTTATCAGTGCTGATGTTCATGATTAGGAGCGAAGCATCCGATCATATCCGAATATATAAATCATCCATATAATACACGCTTCGTGTACTTTGTTACTTTGTACTGATTGTTAGCATTACTTATGGGACATAAAGTCAGTGTGATATAAGATGGCTATATGAGATGTCTGATTGTATTGTTTTCAGTATCCATATATTGATCAGCTACAGAATAATAATAAACCAGTCCTTGCCAAGCCAGTTCATCCACATTCATGCTTTAATAAATAAACACTCATACCATTTTTATATGTATTCCTTTGATTAAAATAGATTATTTAACCGGTTAAACATACGCACACACTTGTCCTAAAACACGCTCGCACGTATACAGTTTACTCCGCAACTTTCACACACATTACGACAATACTCAAATACACATCAGGAAAATAGGAACGGTATACACGCACGACCTAATATCATATTCAACATAAAAGATCAACGATTAAAGATGAATTAGCACTCATATAACAAAACAAAGAAATCTACGCTTGATTTCAGATCCTGACCACAAGATATTTAAGTTGTAAAACATCACGTGGCTTAACATGACAGATGAAGATGATTTGCTGATAAAAACTTAAAGCATCTAATGTCATGACTCTATAATTGTCTCGGCTGTTGATTCTGGTAGTTTGACTGCTTCTGTTATACAGAATGGCGCTTTATCGTTTGTGTTTAACACAAAAACACCACGTGGGTTACCAACATTGGAATGGTAGCCCATAAGAGCACATCCATTTTCACAAGTATTGCAGCCCTCAGCAACAGTTAGTCCGTCCCCTTCCGTACAATTGTACGATGTAAATTTACACTTTCGTATATTAATAGATTCTATGTATAAATTCACCGCTCGTATATGACTGCATCCCATGTTCATAAAGACATCTAAAACAGAAAAATAACACAAAAATTCAACAGAGGCATCAATTTATAATTGATGACATTTAAGAAGAACGTGTGGAGAAATATTGAAGAATGATATACAGATATAGAAAGATTCCATCTCTTGACGCAGTTAATTGATGCGGACAGCAAAAAAATAGGTGAACATGGAATGAAGGCGGAAATCAGACTTACCAACACTTCCGGTTACTATCAATCCCAGTTGTTGATTCATTGTGGAAGGACATCCTGGTTGGGAATGGCCTCCATTGACGTAAAAATCAGCATGACCCATTCTTGACTTTGCGCCAAAGCCCGGATGACCTTAAAAAGACGATAAAATGAACGAATGAATGAATAAATGAAATCTTGATTTCTTGGCGACAAGTTTATTCACTTACCGGGTAACAGTGATTCTATAGAAAATTGTAACAGGGATCTTTACTTATAACACGACTACACACCGTACTCACCTAGTACGAATAGATCTCGGGCGTCCGTGTGTAAGATGTCCACAAAATTAGCATCAGTAGGGTCGAGAACAGTCTCCGGAGGGTACCCTTCAAACGATGGTCCGGCTGGGTCTATACCTACAAAACATTACAATCAGATTTATAGTATATCAATTCGGGAACCCGACACCGGAAACTACTAGCTGTAATGGTCAAGTTTTTGTTGGAAAATGGCTATCTTATTGTGTGAGCCTCAATACGCAAACCTCGATCGCGATCAATACAATCTAGTTCGTGAAGCATGGAGGTGAACGTCCTATAGTGACGAGGGGACGAGGGATAGAAAATATCGTTCACACATCAACTGCTCTAAATGAGTTAAAATCCCCACAAATATCGAATCATGGTAATACCTCCTAACCACATTCGGTGGTACGATGTGTGTGGTGCCTAAGCATGCATCTGTTTACATTACTTTATTTTCCAGTATGAGTGGTACTATTTCTATTCGTACACCCCAGTCTTCATGTTTTGGTAATTAAAAAGGCAGTATGTGTTCATTAATGGTTAAGGTCATTTAAAGGACATGAATGACGTACAATCCGGACATGTTTTGTTTCGTGGTCACATGTTTAAGTTATCTAGTTCTTAATACAAATCAGACAGTTGAAAAACTATTCCGAAATAATTTCAACAGTTTGTACTTTTCTTAATAACCATATGAACATTTCAAAAGTAGTTGCCAATTTCCAAACGATGATAGTCATAAAAAGTCAGTAAGAAGAAGGATTGATTATTCAATACTCAAAGTGATAAAAATCCCCCACCCGCGATTATTCAGATATTTGGAAAGTAAGTGCTGTATTTCTGCCTTGGATATGAACAACTTATTTGTTCTGTTCCCGACATGTGTTAAATTACATGGCCCCAACAGTGTAAATACATGTGTTTCCAGTGAGGTGTAAAGAACATAGCAATCTAGAGCATCTAATGCCTGTCTGAGGAGGAAATAGTGGGGTCACATCTGGAGTTTGCATACAAATAGGTCATTGTCTTAGTTGGAAACACCATCTTCTGCGGACGCTGAAACATCTACGAATGGTTGAAACAATGTATCTAAATGTAAATGCAGACGTAGAGGAATATTGATTAAAAATTACCAGAGATTCTGCCGATGCCCTTGACCTCTGTGCCGATGTAGCCAGCCATTTGAGCGCCAAGACTGTGACCAATGATGTGAACCTTTTCCATACTGTAGCCCAGCTCATACTGTAGTCTCAGAAGGAATTTCGATATCATGGCGGCGATGATTCTTGTGTTGGCGGCCGATTGGTAGTACAAGTTATGTCCTGCACCTCGTTTCCAGTTCACGGCAATAACATTGACGTCGTTCTGTGGAAAAGAGCATTCACATTGAATATACCTTCTATGATATATAAGATGGACTGGTCATTACTACATCATTACTACATCATTACTACGCCATTACTACATCATTAATATGTCTTAAGAATAACACAAGTACAAGGGAAGGCTATTGATCTTACTCAAAAACCATAATTCAAACTCAAAAGCGTTGCGTGAAGGCATAGTTTGGCAAAAGAAAGATTAGCAAGGATAAAGTTTTATTTCGCTCTGGAAGAGGAAGCGTCTTCTGTTTCTTCCTCTGACATCAATGCTTTGAACGTGTTAAAGTAATGTCACACCCTATAAGGGCATCACATAGTACCATACAAGTATTTCAATCAAATGTTTAGCTTGAATTGCCTCTCTGTATGTGTACTGATGTAAACATCCACTACTAGTACAACAATGCAGTAGTAATAGTAATCAAAGTATACGTACAAATCTTATAAGAGTTTTTCTCATCTTGCGAAACTTTGGATTTTTGGCACTATCCATCCAACCATGAATGAGGAAAATGGTGTCACGCTTTAGATTAAGTTTTCCCTTGACTCTTTTAGAGTTCCACTTCAGCTTTCGAGCGCGTACAGGATTTTTGCGAGTGTACAGGAGGAAATGCAGTCCTTGTTTCTTTGGGGACAATGGCAGAACTCCCTGTGTGTTGTCGAACGGCTTCTCGCTGCTGTAGCAACCAAAGCCGAGAAAACATGCAGTCTTACATGTCTTCCAGGGCCACATCCCAGACAAGTACCCGGCTGTAAGTTAACAAAATATTTACAAATCAAAATTACGTCATCAGTAGCTGTTTTAATTTGCATAAAAAGTGTTCCTCATAGACCACAAGGAAGCATTGCATCAAAATCACAAGTCACAAGTACAAGGAAACAGTATATTGCGTCGAAATGTAACATAACATGACAGCTGTATGATGCAATTTAATTCATTATTACGCTAAAGTGAACCTTATTCTAAATTTGTATGTGTTGGTTATATGTGTGCATTTTTTGGAAATTTTGAAATAAATCCTCCATCATCATTACGTTTTTCATTTAATAACCAGAGTTTAACATGATCCTATGTATAATATTTCTTTGTTATGTATCTACGTGTTGTTATTCTAAGTACTGTGGTATAAACGTTGTGATATTTTATCATATTAACCCTAATCACAGTGTTTAGGAAATCATATGACCTATATACTCTAGTAGACAAAAGTCGCTCAAACAATGTATGACCTTAAACGTCAAAATCTTTCCAAATTCAATAAGCCCTTGAATTAATTACCTCGGCTATTATATCCATTAAACATTTGGCTTAGTTTCAAATTACAAAGAATGTCAGGACATCAGATCATGCCTCTCAGTCGAACTCGACCTTATTACAGGATCCATGTTATATGTGGAAAGTGTAATTTGTGAAATGTATTTGGTACAACATCTACATCTAAATAAATCGTTACGTTGGAACAACATGTTTTTATCGCATAGAAATGACGGTTATCTCCATTTAGAAGAGCGGGGACATGTGCCTCAAACATAAGTGCTCAAATTAATATAGATGGTCTATTAAAACGAATGTAAACAATTAACACGTACTTTTTAAATAGTTTGGATATATTGATTTTTTTTAATAATTAGGGACATTCTGGTGATAAAGTAATTTGATAAAGAAAATTGAGAAATACTCATAAGAGAAGGATTGGATATTAGTTGGCTCTAAATGTGATGCTGGCAAAAGGCCAAACGTGGATTTCCAGACCACTCAAGATTGTTATAAATGAATAAGTTATATTTTCAGTTGACACTCTAAATCGATAATTTGACTGTGTTTTATTCTTAGTTTTTGCTTATATGTATTGTTTTGGTTTTGGTTTAAGTTGTATTATAATAGAATTAGTCATGCTGTAAGATACTGAAATGGTCATGTGGCAATTTGTCATGTCAATCAAATGTGAATTTTGATATCTTTGAAACTGAAAATATTATGAAAATCATGAATGTAGCTATTTCCATATAAAAAAAAAACAAATGAAAAGATAATTTTCCCTCTAAAAGATTACGCGATATAACATGTGTATAGGAATTGCTAAATAACATCATCAGATTGTATGTATACACATATAATGGGGGTGTGTCGGTAGGCGTTTGAGAGTACATGCATTTGATTGGCTGATAGAAAATGCCTCGTGGCGGCCAACGATGCATGTTGTTATGCAGAGATTTTTTCTCTGGTGGTACCATTTTCGTATGTAAACAACTGAAACACCAAGGTGACATTACACCCAGCCTCCCCAATGAAACAGACATCAGGCGAAGAAGTCCGATAAATATTTATGAATGGGCGAACAATAAAATAAATTAGTCGACCCTTTAAAGACCCGGTATTTTTATGAATAGGAATCCCTCCTTCATGGTAATTGGAAACAGACTCTATGGTTGACCTGTGATGTTTTACATTCACGAGGACGTGCCACATCTCTAAAGGCGAAGGCGGCACATTTGTGGCAACGAGGAAAGAACAGGGCCTCTTCATGCCATACGGTCACGTTTAGCTTTAAAACATAATAGATGAATAGAAAACTGGATTTCGAATAAAATAAAGATATACATGTTTGCTTGAGTAATTTCGACATGCATGTTAGCTTTATAATATTGTGCTGATATATGTTATATACCTGTTCGGGTTATAGAACTTGTTTGACATCTACTCCTCAATATCTAATAATATTTAAGATTAATTAATAACACCAACAGGGAATAACAGAATGTGTTATCATAACATGTTTGAAATTCACAAAACTAGCCGATTCAAAATTATGAAAATCAATAAAACATAAAATGTACTTACACGTCAGAGTGGCCATCATAATAATGATGGAGGCGACCAAAAGAATACTGGACATGGTTCACTGTCATAAATTCAAATATGACCTAGTCAGAGAAGGTTACAATTATGTCGTTGACAAAGTCTCCGTTATATACACACCAAACACTCCAAATTATAACAGATGGGATAGGAGATCGGTTGTATTCACCTATAAAGCCAACACTTCGTAATCAGGTAAACACTAGCTGAGTTATGTGTTTAATCCCATCAAATCAGAATGTTCCAATAAAAAAATCACACAAATACGTATTCAACACAGGTAGGTCATAGTATGGGAAAGTGTGTGTGTAGACCAGCACTGGTTGGCTTACTCACGAGTAAATGATACACATAGCACGTCGTGTTATAGTCGATTCATAACAGTGCTTGAGGAGATAATGCCGGGTCTGTACGCACTCATAGTTATAAACGGTATCGAAGCTATTGAAGCAGAACTCACCTACGAAACGTTCAGGACGGAGGGTTCTTCGAGTCTTACATAGGGGTAGATCTGAAACCCAAATGACAGTCATGATAAATTTGAAAGACTCGATCAAATATTTAGAGGTACTTTGTTAATACACTTTTTGTGTTTGGTGATATTGATCACAAACGCCATCATTGTTCTTAATGTTCTTATCAAATTGGCAATCTTCAAGTACAATTCAAAACCAGTGACTGATCAATTTGGCATATTAAAATGTTATTATGCATTATAATGATACATCCGACAGCGCAAGGCATTGACACGTTTAATCTGGAACATCATTCTGGAGTAATAGTTTAATAGCAATGTTTTGGAATGTACATGTTAATTATAGTAGAAGTACTGGGCATTATGCCTGTTAATGGTGCCAGGTCGTCAGTGTTTGTGAGATTGTTCAGACATGCGGGACAGGATTTGACACATATTCTTACCTCCAAGAAACGTCTGATACATAACACGTACATAGTTATTACATGTTTAATATACCCCTTTAAGGATATTATAAAACCATTCCGACTCGTGTGATACACATAATACACTAATCGTGGAGCAATGAGTAATCGTACCGTGAAATTCCCATGTGGGTATGTTGATAAACATTTGAAAATGACACATACTTATAAAGAGAACACGACATCATAATACTGACACCAATATAGACACATACCAACAGTAGAAATTGTTGACTCAATCAAAACAGATAATCGTTGTCATTTATAACACTGCACATTTCTTTTGTTAGGAATCCATCGACGTGAAGATTCCCTGTATGGTTTACAGTTATCTACATATATCGGGGGATCTCATAACGATTCTATTCAATCTCACACCCTGATATTTACAGTAACATATCAGAATGAAAACTGTACCACAGGGACTTGGTACGAATTCCCAACCCACATAGTATTAAAGTGACTATATATATAGGATCCGTGGGTTGGGAATTAGCACCAAGTCCATACGGAAACAGTTCTATTCATTTTTTTCCACGAAAGTTTTGTTTCCCATACATTATCATGCAGGCATTAAAAATCCCCTAATTACATATCTTTTTTACGTCATACCATTATATCTCGAACTGCATCTGTTCGTCGTCTGTTCATCCAGCGCACAGTTCTCGGAAATCTCAATTTAATGGGTCTCCTGTTTAACAATATTTTCCTGATATTAAGTCGACATTATAATTAGTGTGTTTCGCAAAAACCGGATTAAAGTTTCATAACTACATCCTGTTGACGAACGATCATAGTATTGACAGATCGGCCCAGTATGACACATGGTTTTAATGAAACTTGATGAAATTGATATTGTCCAGGAAGAAATTCAAGGATAGAGAAGTGTATATTGTAATGAGTCAATTTCTATGGTAACGACAGACAAAATAGTAATACTCCCACAGTGGTTATCTATGGTGCGTTGGTGATGTCGCGTGACTCTTGTCAAATAAACGTTAGAATGTTGTAAATGTTCACGGAATTTGTTTTTCATGTACTGCTCAAGCTAAGGGAACTATGTTGTTTTGAAGGAGTCTGATCATTACCAATATTAGATAACTACAAGGTCATACTCAAACAGTGTCCCATTGTTTGGCATGTGACCAGCAGCAGTCAATAAAGGAGACAGCTGTATTCTGTGCCATAATGAATGTGCCCATGTCCTGTGTTGAACACATGAAATGTTTAGCATTAACTTGCTTATACGGCCAATGAGAGTATAAAATAGAGACAAAATATTTGAATTTCAGATTACTGATTTTAAAAGATGTTTTGAAAACAGCAATAAAGCTAGTCCGAATTAGTATACACTGTTTTTTTTTAGTTTTCTTTTTTTATATCATCATGGAATTGTTTTCAGATTGCCTTGTGTTATTTGCTGCAGATAATGTAAAGATATCTATGTATATTTAGATAAGCTCAGGCCATGTAGTCATCCCATTTAAAATCGTATGACGTAATCGTTTACCTTCTACAACAAGTGATACGATACACGCATTAGAGGTTTGTATGTACGTCCAGATGTACAGCAGTTGCAAACTCACGTCTCACTCTTTTCCGTATTATACCTTCCGGAATGTAGAAACATTCCAGACGGCGATGCATGCGATGCACAAAAAAGAGCTCAGATGCTCATCCAATCTGCCTAGGAAACTGCCGAGCGTGCATACCTTGTACAAAGTCATCAACACAGCGAAACGACCTTAGAGCACTGAAAGTAATACAAATTGTTACAATTTCTCACAATGAGATGTCAAAATGTCCGGATTAAACTTTCAGGCTCTGCACTCTGGGCACGACGCGTTGGTAGGAAGTTCACAATAAAAACTACATGTACATAGACAAAATAATCCTATATTCAGATGATCTGATTTACTAGTCTATATATTTTATTTCGCAAGTGCTGAAGAAGAAATACATCAACATTTATATTAAAGAGATTTTCAACACAAGATTTTTTATAACAAATCACCAAAGGATTTACTTACCTTCCTTGGTAAGTACAGTGTATGTCTCTTTTCACAATATAAAAACGTGTATTTGGATTATGGGAATTCTGTATAGATTTAGCTATATTGACTTAATACCTTATATCGATCGGATTAAGGGAATTCTATATAGCTATATAGACTTACAAACATTAGCTCGGCCATGATTGAGTCACAACAGGTTTGGTTATAAACCAAACATTGCGAAATATTCTGTAAACATTAAAATCGATAAGAAACAAGCCAAACAAATCAATGAAATTCCAATACCAGCAGAAATTATTAGTGAACAATGTACACACCTGTATTCACTTCATACTTTACATAAAGTCTATGATGCAGTCAGTGACTGACTTCCGGTTTCCTTAATGTGCTATATTTAGACAGTATAATTGTATATTAGTAAAGGGCATTTCCACTGACCTCAAGAAAGATATTTCGATGCCGACAAAAGTTTCAAGTTGATCTTTGGTTAGATCTGTGTAAAGAAGTACTAAACAAGTTTTATGGAAGACATTCCGGATGACACAATTTTTTTTTTACTTAGTAATGTACTTACCAAGTCTGCATTAAATTGCACTTGTCAACATCTCAACTTTGTTATAACCATGTCTATTTTGCTTACAGCTTACCAAATAAAATATTTGACTAAGGGCATTTGTTTCATCTTTGGTACCCATTTCACCCCAACATCAAAACAATTTTAAATGAGACAACAAAGAGTTTAGCTTTGCTCTCGTCAATACCTTTTAAACATTTCCCATATTTTTCTGATCTGATCTGCTAGACATTTCATCTGAATACTGACAAGAAATAGTATTGTTGTGCTTTTATTTAATTTTGAATAATTACATCCACCAAATATGATCGCTGGTACGTAGGGTTCTGAACCAGTAGGTTTTTTGGGCGTTCCTGCTGGGGGTGCTCTCGTTCCACCGAGCTCCGCCCTTCAGCAGGGGGTGGCTCCCCCTGTCCAGGTGCGTCCTGGAGTAGGGGGGGGGGCAGCCCGACCCTGACTCGGCGCAGTCAAGGGTCGAATTGGCCGGTAGCTCTCGATAGCCGGCGGTGTTACCGTCGGAAAGGGAGTTCCGGTCGAGGTCTCTGATTCCTTCAGACCAATCATTGGACCAGGTGGTGCTCGATCCCAAAGAGCACCACAGGATGGAGAAAATGTTGCACCTCTCCATCCAAGTTCTGTCATACATAGACTTCCTGACAGTTTGTCTATACAGGGTATCCGATTTGCCTGAGTGTCGGTTATCCGAGACAGAACAGCCGACATACAGGACACGGCAGCCTTGCAGGTTTCTCTGCCCCCTTCTAGGGCTCTACCCTGTTCAGAGGAGCTCTTCCTTGGGTTCAGAAGGATATGAAGGAGGACTCGGTCGCCTTAGCACTTCTGGTGAAGAGGTTTCAGGCTGAGAAGGCTAGTGCCTCGCAGGGGTCAGTGCCTCCTAAGAAGAAGGCGAAGTCTTCGGCTGCTCAGTTTTCTGCACAGCCCAAGTCCCAACCTCACTTCAACGGCAACAAGGGGAAGGGTAGGAAGGGTAAGAAACCTCCTGGGGGCAAGAAGAAGGGTTGGCCGCGAAAGGCGAAGGGTATGGCCGGGTGGACGGTGGTTCTCCTGTCCCGGGCTCATGTCCTTCTCCCGCAGGCTCAGGCTCCGAGTGGGCAGACGATTCGCTGGTCTGGCAGGGGCTCGATCTGCCCCATCCGGAACTCCCTGTGGGCGGACGTCTCTCTGCTTTCCTTTCCCAGTGGCAGGATATTACAGATGACGCTTGGGCTTTTGTTGGTGGTCAGGGAGGATCTAGGTATTCCCCTTCTTCAGGATTCGTCCCTCGCCTCCCGGCCGTTTTTGTTTCTTTCCTCCTCCCGGGGATTCGGAAAGGGCACGGGTGCTCCAGGAGAAAGTAGGCACCATGCTGCCAAGGCAGCGATGCCCTTGGGGCTCACGACAGCTCCTTTGGTGTTCACCAAGTTGCTGGTGGTTTCCTTCACTCACGCAGAATAGACGTCCACATCTATTTCGACGACTCCCTCATGCCTCTTTTGGTGTGGGAATCGTTAGTGAAGGACACTCGTCTGGTCCTGAAACTCTTGCTCAGAGTCGGCTTCATTCCTTCCAGAGAGAAGTCAGAGGTTCCTTCATTTTAGGACTTCGTCTTCCTGGGGAACCATTTTGACATGGTTCGGGGCTTAGCCCTTCCACCTCTGGAGAAGTGTGAGAAGGTCAGGGCTCTGGCTCTGACTTTCATCGCTTGGTCGCTTGTCCAGGTATATTAGTTCCTCAGTTTTCTGGGGTATCTCAACTCCTTGGCAGATATGGTCCCCCTAAGGAAGGATTCACATCGGACCTCTCTAGATGTTCCTCCTGTCT